CTTGCGACCAGATTAACACATAAATTTGTGACCAGAATAGCATCATTTCTGTTCCTGAGACCAGATTAATATATTTTATTTTGCAACCAGAATAATACAAAAGACTTAACCTGAAATAGCATATGTCATACCTCGATTAGCACTTAGGCTATTTCGGGTATCAAAGTTCAAAATGATGCTATTCCAGGTATTTACCGTTTTCCTAAAACGGTAGATAATTTTCTCTAATTTCCATTTTAGTTGCCGAAGTTTTCATACTTCAAGGGGGGTTAGAAGAGAGAGAACTGAGCTTATAAACATGATTGATATAAGAAATGGCGATAGCACAATAGATGCGGTTTGAGGCATGTTCAAAGTGAAATAATTGGAGTTGACTTGGTATAGGGAATAAGGCCTTTATTATGCTTTATACGCAATTGTAGCCCTTAGCCATTGGCGTGATTACCAGCAAACAAATCGGCTTCGTTGATTGATATACTAAATACTCCGCAGGTTTTCACCAGTATTCCACGAGTTTGTAAGGTGTGATGGTAAAAAGATTGATTATATGTTAAGAAGATCTAGAAATGCTATATATATAATGCCCCAAAAAACAATTTGTCCACCGCCTGTATGATTTCTTTGTCTCTGATAATTAACATAAAATATAAACAACGGACATGATTAAGATAGATATAGACACCGTGACGCTCTACCAAATGAATGTGAGAGATCAATACAACTGTAGAAATATACCCACAAGAAAGACAATGTACCACAAATTGGGACTCTGAATGACATGATAAAACTTTTAACTGAGAATCTATGGTGAAAAATGCAATGCGAAATATATAAAGGCAAAAGTAGCAGCGCAAAAACCTGGTAAATACGATGCACCGAGTAAAGGGATAATAATAAAAAAGTTACACGCGCTCCAGAGCAGTATTTAAATCTCGAATAAACGAATCTTCTCCAGGTAATTGTTTCGTAGGTACCATCAACGATGAGCTCTCAGACCTGGTATCATAACTAGTGCTGCCTCTCGAAAGCATTGTAAGTCGAGCACCTTTCTTCATTGGCGACTGACTTCTAGTGGAATTGGTACCGGACGAATGAGGGAAACGAGGAGGTGTCAGGAATTGTACATCAGGAGTGGAGATATTGCTATCGCCCGTTTGATAACCACCAGTGAAGTAATCGCTGATGTTTTGAAGACCCTTAATACCACTGCCGTAGCCCATAAGAGACATGGGTCTTTCGATCCTAGGAGATGGTACCACTGTTGAGGCCTGCATGGAACGTGCCATAATACTGGATCCTCGGAAGATGGATGGTCGGAGAGGTCGGGCCTGTAGTGCTGATGGTACGGATGCTTGACCCCACATATTGCTTGCCACTGGGAGCGATGCCATCGCAGGTCTTAGTCTTGGCCTTGTTTGTTGTGAGGGGAATTTCAAGTCGTAGCGAGATTTTCCAATCCAGAGCATTTGCTCGTGTTCTCTGAGATACCTGTTTCCTCCAAATGATTTCTGAACAATCTCTCGACTTCGCATTCCAAGAGCTCGGAGTTCACTTTTCTTCTCGTACATTCGTTTCGTAATGATTGCAACTTCTTCCGGAGTAGGTTTGTCGATGATGGAAGGAGGTTTGTACCCCTCAGAATCATTTGCATAAGGGGCCCATTCATCCAGGAGGGCAAGCATATTAATTTGTGCTCTTGCAAGACTTTGCGCATCATTTGGGGCTACCACCGCACTGAAACAGTCGCCAGTATTGAAGTCTGTGAGTACGCGAAGAGAAGCTCCGACATCTGTACAGACGACAGGCGCACCAGTCAATGCAGCTTCTCCAAGTGCCAAGGGAAGTCCTTCAGATATGGAAGAATTGAGAAAGACCCAAGTTTTCTTGAGCACATCAGTTGGACTTGCAGTTCCACACAAATTGACATACCCAGGAAGGGACTTGGATGCTAATATTTCGAAGCAATCTGTCGAATATTGTGGTGCTTTGTCAATTGCGCCGTAAATATCGAGACGGTAGTCCTTGAATCCCCACACGTTCACAATGATATCGGCAGCTAGAATAGCTGTTTTGATGTCTTTTGCATACCACACATGAGACAGCATGGTGACCGTTGGTAGAGGTGAAGTTGTCTCCTTAATCGGACTGAATTTTGAGATGTCCGCGGGCGGGATACCATTGACAACAGGATCGATTTTGCGTTTGAAAATATTTCGATGTTCTAGCTTGCCTTGGTGTGATCCTATCTCAACTTCCCATCCGGGGTTGAAAAAGTCGGCGCAAGGTAGAATTACATCAGCGTGGTGGAGTGTTAATTGACTGGTAAGCTTCATAAGCCCGAGTAACGAATTTCTAACAAATGGCGGTAGGGAACAGAGATCTGAAGAGAGGTAGAGGTTTGTCTCACGCCAGCTGATAGCGTGGTCCCAAATTTGCAATGTGCTTCCCCTAGCAACCTTGCACACGACCCCATATGAAGCACTAACGGAATGGTGTGACGCCTGAAAGATGGCCGGTATCTTTTCGGGCAGTGGAAGGGAAAATATGAACAGGTAACGAAACCAAAGGTCGAGTGCGGCGTCAAGTTGCGCTATCGTAGGTATCTCAGTCTGAAACCAGCCTTCCGAAGGTGTTGGACTCACGAGGTCTTGTGATATCCATAGGTTTCGCCATGCAGTTTTTACGATTCTACTGTTCCAAACGCCCGTCCAGTGTTTTCCCTGGGAGAAGTATGCGTTCAGATTGACTAAAGCTCGTGTTGACTGGAGGATGTCACTCTTCGAATATTGGCTCGTCCTAGCCCCTTTCACTAGTGCTTTTAGGATCGGGACAAAATTCTTCTCGATGTCCAATTTTGTCGCATCTCTCACAGCATGCACGACCTCCGAGTCTAATCGATCTCTGAATATTCCATGAGTTGGTGTCATGAAATCAAGCCCCCAGATTGGAATGACTTTCAGTGTCTGAACGTTCTCCTGCGTTTGGTGTTTAGGCACTCCGAAATCATTCGCCGATTCTGCAATCATATACCACTTCGCAGCTTTGAGATTATTCACCATATCTCGTCGACATGCAGACACTCCGCCTCCTTCATTAGGCCAGGTTCCAGAGTCGGCGGCTAGAACATGAAGCTCGTCACTCCTGAAATCCGGAGCGGACCTGGTGCGAGCATTGGCAGAACCTCCTTGTCCAAATGCATACAAGTCAGCAATCTGGAATGCAAGTGGGGCCCACCCCGAAATAGATTTATCAAGATCGACAACGGCCATAATTGCATCTGCGTTCTCATGCAAATATTCTTCGGCTGACTTGAGGTTACCGTGATCACGCCTTCGGAAATACGGTCGCAACATAGGTTCCTTTCGAATAAGTCTTTCATCGAGCCATCTCATTATCACACCATCAAAAGCGGAATCATTTTTCCATGCTTGCCAAAGTCTTGATCTAGCTCGCGAAGTAGAGACTGGATTTTGGTGGGTGTTCCTGCCTAGCCATCTGGGGAGAGCATGTGAGCGCAGTGATTTAAAGCCAACCATGTGATCATCGTGACGAAATGTATAGTTTGTGGGCTTTTTAAGGACTCCGAGATGATCCCATTGTATCAGCGCCGGTGTGTCGACGGGTTCGCCATTCAATGTTGTAAATATGGTGGGATGATATTTATGATCGTACGACCATTGTGCCTCATATACATCTGGGCCGATGACGAATGTAGCCTCAAGAACTTGCGAATGGGGTATCCATGTGTCCAACTTTTCTTGATGTTTCGCAGGTGGTGCTGCCCATGAAACCATGCAGAACATATGCGGTAAGACGAATTCTGCTCTTAACAGCTCGTCATCAAAATCGCTGTTTTGTCGATAATGGCAGTTGAATCGTACCAGATTGCCATCAAGAATATATGATCCACTTTGAACAAGACCTTGACTGTTGAAAGAGACTTGTTCAAACTCGTTCTTCCCTTCAACACATCGCCGCGAAATCGGATAGCGACGACGTGTCTTAGTTAATCTCTGTCTTGGAACACTTTCCAAATCGTACTCATATTCATAAACATTAGCCTTTGCGCCTTTGACGTAGTCTTCTCTGCGTAAAAGAAGAAGATCCTTGCTATACATGCTGATACGCTCAAGCTTAGCTCCATCGGCTGGCTCTTGGTCCAGGACGCCACCATACTGGCGGAGCTCGCATATGCCAGAACCAAGTAATGATTCTTGTACAGCATCGGTTTCTTCCTCAGTACTACCGGTAAGATGACTTCCAGTGATACTGGCTGTATCTGGGACTCGAACAAATGCCGTCGAAGATCCTCCAGTACTGTCTATCATTATTTTCTGCCGCTTTAGTGATACTCTCGTCCCTTGTATCTGTTTCCAGAGAATGTCAACATTGTTTCTCCCATAGAGTAAAAACATTGGCATTAAGATATCTTGCAGAAATTTTGCATATGACCAGATGCCTGTTACCAAGAACATGACGCTCGATCGTATATACCATGGGGTTGACTTCATGGTATAGTCGAGCTCTCTTTGCAATTCCGGTTCTGCCACGAATGCTATTGCGAATAATTTAAGACAGTGGCCAATTGTATGATAAACTATACTGAATGGTGACTTCAAACGCCGCGTGAGTATCTTCGATGTCTTCCCCCGTGTTCGGGTCTTTCCGAATAAACTCAGGATATTGGACATTTCGTGCCGGTCAGACCTCTCTATAGGAGCAGTTTTCGCGAACTCCAATGTGTATCGCTTCTTTTCAGATGCAACGAAGGCACCGAAGTTGCGGCGGGTTAGGAATGTGTTCATAGACAAACCCTTAAGTTTATTTGTCCGTACCCAACTATGCTGCTCAGTCGTCAATGTATCAACCTGCCGTGTGCATCTGTCGAGAATGAGTTCTCGAATTTCTGTAGGCAGACTTTCCCAATCAATGTTTGGGTTATATCCAATTGCCGTATGGCGCAGAATATCGTCCTCAAAACAACTTGCAATCTTTTCTGCATGTGTTCGCGAAGGCTTCGAGAAGTTCAAAAAGTTCCGTAGACCTTGAGGTATAAGAGTGTGCTCTAACAAGCCTGATGGTGAAACGGAAGACAGTAATGACTCTAAAAGTGTAGCATCTTCGTGTGAAAGCTTTTGGAAACTTTCAGCTGTGATATGAAGGAGTATCTCCGCAGTTCTATCTCAGGTTAGAATCCGATATTATCAAGTTATATAAGGACTAGAACGACAAGTCTAATTCTGTTGACAGCCACACCAGATGTTGCACTTACGTCTGACAGAATATACTGATGCTTGATTGCTGATCCATTGCATCCATTGCTTCGCAACCGACAATGACCCTCATAAAATCATTGGAGTCACAGCTAACTGCCTTCATATCCTTGAATTCATCAGAAAACATAGACATGGAGACGCATTCGACCACAAATTTTCCACTATCAAATGCTGTGATGGCCTCCAATAACAATGTTTTTGCTTCCGGGAATGCTTTCAAAGCAAAATTTGGAATTGAATCAACAGAGCTTCCTTTGATCTCTTCAAAGATTTCAATAGCATGAAACAGGATCGACTTAATTTCCAAACCTGGATGCGTTGTAGGATCGACTTCATATTTTTCGTCATCGCTAAGTGCATCAAGGTTCTCGAAAGTGATGCGAAGTTCGTCTTGAGATAGTAACAATTCTCGACCTGGACTGGTAAATTCATGAAAAGATCTGTCTTGTGATATCTTGTTCCCAGCACGACCTTCTGAGTCCATAGTATCGATTGGTTTTGCCCTGATCCCTGCGTAATAGAGAGACAAAAATGCTGCCGTCCACGTAGCTGCTGCAAGCGCTACCACATCGCAATACTCGAATTGTGGAAGAAAGTGCCTGAGGATTTGTCCGAGAGGAAGGCCAACTGAAGCAGCTATGAGAAGGGGTTTGAGACTTCGAGGGCCCGAGAAAATCTTTGTGTACTAGTTGCAAGTTTTAGCCGATGTGAAAGGGTGAATCAAAATCAAGGGTTCTTATCAAGAAAACATACCTGGTAGAAGAGTAGACCTTTGGAATTTTATTAGCAAAGATATCAAATAATGGGGGTCGTTCTTACCGGTGTACGCCCCAACATATGCGACAAAAAGAAGCGTGGAGGCCTCCGAACTGTCGAACACCCAAAGAAGACTAGAAGCTACAGCTAAGCTCCAAACATGAAATAATGAAAACCGTCCCAACATATTCCAGTACAAGTGTCTTCGGGCCTTGACGCCCGCATTCACTGCGTCTGAAATTGAAGAGACGTTGCCGATCAGCATATTTTGACTCTGTGCCGTCATAGTATGAAGTTTTGCGGCATTGAGATCCAGAAGAACTGCGCCTATCAAATAATAAGCCAGAGCAAAGCCAACGGGCATTCGATATTTTGTGTTCTGTGCTGATAGTCCTAGAACACGTCCACCAGCAAGAAGCGAGTTCCATTTGTCGAGAAGCGCTACGATAAAATAGAGAAGACTACACCCAACCTGTACTATTTTAGCTTTTATTGTCGACAATCAAGTGATTGAAAGCGGGGAGAGAACAAGACTTACTTCATCGCCAGCTTGACGCCAGTGTATAAAAGCATTATGTAATCTGAGGCCTGTTTGCATCTGCTTAAGGGTATCAAGGGCAACCTTGATTTGCATGTTCCAAGTTGATGAATATGGCATTGGTAGTGGTGTTCCTGAGTAACCCGAATACCATTGTAATAGGAATATGGTGGCATCGTAACTGTCCGCCAAAGACTTGACGGTCGAGTCCTGACATTTGTGTCGAAAGCCACTTCGTACTTGCGTTATCGCCTCGATCATTGCAGTCCTTGAAATCTTTAGGGCCGCGGGGTCGGTCATCCCATCAAATGCATGGTCATCACCCCCTTTGTGAGTCTTAAGATACCATTCTTTTAGAGCCTTGTCACTAATATTCTCAATCTTTTGATGCCACGTAGTCCATTTAGAGGCGATATGACGAGTTCCCAAAGCTAGCAAAAGAATGAAGACATACAAAACTGACAAATAGATATAAATGTCGTAGCCAGGAACGAAGATTGTCGTGATTGGTGAAATGAATAAGAAAGGGATAATCATGAGAATTACCGGGCGCCCAGATTGAAAAGTAGTACCAGGATAAGAGAAATTAGCCAAAGTTGCAAGCAGTGACAAATAAGTGCTCAGTGCAATCAAGTACAAGAAAAACACAACTCCTGCAACGATACCATCTTTGATACCAAGACCAATCATGCCAAGCACGGCAATGACAAGTGAAAAGGCAATACCGCCAATGAGTCTCGTCGCAATGAATAAATTCATTGCAGAGAAAGCCATGGAAATCAGATAGTAAGCACCACCGCAAGTTATCCATGTACCACATATGCCTGATATCAGAAGAGAAATCATCAAAGCCAATGTAGCAGAGTGCTGGGCTGTAGGGCTCATGTTCCCACTCAAATAGAGACCTTTCCCGGTACTTGTCAACAGCAAGATGTCCAAAAGTGCTGGTATTGCGAAAACACTCAAAAAGGTAAATCTCATTGTTCCAGATAGTGGTTTGCTCTTGAAATCCCCAATATCAATTTTCGCCGCCGCATAAGCTGAGGGAGTTGACGGATCGGCATCAGTCCAAATTGGAGGCTCCCGGCCGGGTTTGTGATGACAGGTCCGATACCGATCCGATAATAGTTTACCGAAGGAACTAGGAGTCATATCGAAGTAAGATTCGCATCGAGCACCCGTTGCAAAGAGCTCCGCGAATGCAGCTGCCTGATCACTCTGATCGTTGAATAAGGTGTTCCTATCTGTAACCTCAACATAAGCTTCGTCAAAGGCGTGTTTTCGAAATACAGAAAATAACGCAAGGCAAATAATATCAACGCGAGCATCAATCTTCTTTGCCCCGAGAATTTCAATTAGGGTCTTCGTGACAACCTGAAGAGTATTCAACCTTCTTTCCTTCAGTATTATGGTGATTGAGTTATTGACCTGGTTGAAGACATCCAAGGCATTCTCCTCGGAAGGATGCTGCGAGTGGTTGTCCGCATGCCATTTTATTCTTAATGCTATCAGGTCTTGTGGAGATTTCTGATTTCCCAGATAACCAACAGAACAAGCATCTTTTATCTGGGTGAAATCTGTGGCATCTAGCAACTGCCTCTCGCATGCGAATATTATCGAATCGATGAAGTCTCCATTACCCTTAACCGATGATAGCTGCAATGTTTGGACGAATCTCAGTAGCTCTGAAGGAGAGAGCGAACTTATATCATTGAGTAATCGTGGAGGTAAGTAAGAGTTCAAAGGTGCCGACCACTCCCAAAATCCCCTCTCTGCTTCAAAAGATTCATGGCGGGGACAGCCACGACTTGATAAGAATGTGTGCAGAATTGTTCCACCAAGGTCTTGAACATTTCGTGACATGAAAATATCAAGCATGGACCGTTCTTCAAACGCAAACACTGCCCAGTATCGAATTTCATCCTGGAACTGGAATCCCGAATCAAGGCCTTTGTACACTTTGATCAAGTCTGTGGTGGCGGAATCATCGGCTAAACCAGAAAGTTGACTCGCAAGTTCCTGTATCGCCGCGTGCCATGCCGAAAGCTCAACTGTATCTTGTGCATTACAAAATCCGCTTAGCTTCCCACCAATGTCTCTCAACAGAGAATTTTCTATCGGTTCAAGAAGATCAAGAGATTTTAGTTTCTTTTGTGATTGGAGGATTTCATCGAAAGATTTTCTAGAAGCGTGTACCCCAAGTGGAAAACATCCAAGAAAATCATGCGAAGACCCCGTAGGAGATGTTGAGATTGGATTTCCAGGCGTTTGATTGAGATAAGAATATGGACCCTCAGATAATCTACGGCTCTGTGCGGGAATGGTTAGGATTGACTCTGTCGGAGTGAGTGATCTACTAGAAAACCCGGGCAGGTTACAATCGGAAGAACGGCCGCGTAAGTCCAAATATGTTTCCAGAGTACTTGAAGGAAGTTCAAGATCTACATCGATGAACGGTAGCTGGGTAGATTTGCTCGATGGCTGGAGGTCGACTTCAATGGAAAGGGCGCCAAGAAGATCGTCGGCTAGATGCGAGATTTCCGATACATATTCGTTGGCAATCTAGACCGGTGTTAGTAAAATCACTGGACATTTAAAGAGCAGTATTATTTTAATCAAAGTCCATGAATCAAGTAAATGGCCCAAAGCATTTCAGGTCCGATGGTGTACTTACAGTGTGGTTCAGACGCCATCTTTTATGTGCCTCCATTACCCCAGGCTCCTTGAGCCAAGAAAAGGCTCCTAAAGGTTCTTTCTGTCCTATGCCATGAGTTGCTACAGTCAAATCGGACCTTGACCCAATCCATGGTGATAGTGTGCTATAGAATTTTGACCACTGGTATGATCTCCTAACGACGGAATTCGTCGGGTTTATCTCATCTTCTAGAGTTTCCCACAAGCAAACCACGAAAGGTCTGAGGCATGCTTGAGAAACAAAAGCTTTGATGGTCGGTCTCATCTCTTGCATCTGAAATGCATCTCGTTCATCCCCATTTGTCGATATCGTGCCATTTCTTATCACTAGTCCCGCCACTTCATCCAGTTCTGCAACTTTAGGATCACGCAAAAACCCAGGAGAAGATGTTTCAAGGTAGATCTGAAATCCGAGTCTGTGAATGAAGGTAATGAACTCGATAAGCAATGGGCTTGGGAATTGATCGTTCCAGTTGCTAATCAAAATTCCGGAAAATTGGCAATCACGCCCTGGCGCTGTGGATAAAGCTAGCAGCCTAGTGATCCAGGTAACAGCACTTTCGAGTGCTGCTGATTGTTTGCATTGATGCGGGACGATAATGCTTAAATCAAGTCTTGCTAAAACTAGGGATGATTTGTGGTATAGCCCACATGAGAGAACATGAATTATGTTCTCTTGAAAGGCGTCTACAACAAGAAGGTCCCATTGTGCTAACAATCGCAGTTCATCACTTGTTGGCGTATGATTGACTTTCCCCAGGTATACTCCAAAGCTTTCAGGCTTCTTCTCGACACCGGCGACTTTATGATGTGATAGTTCTGCGCGAGTCTCGGCAAGATACTTCTTGATGGACGCGGAGACTGTGTGTCTTGCGGATTTCCAGGTCTACATGCAGCGAAATATTAGCAATGAACTGTAACAATATAGGACTTGTAGAGTATGCGATGAGATGTGAAAATTGTTATATTGCACTTACTCGGTATTTTTTTATTGAACTCTGGAGTGCGAGATAAGAGATGAAGCTCAGGCCAAGACCGACAGAGGCAAGGATAAATGCAACAAGAATCTGTTACCATTAGCAGGGGAAAGTATCTAGACGTATGAGCAAGCTTACAAACTGCCACCAATTTTTAATTAAGTCCTTCCAAGAAGCAGCTTCAAGGCCTGTGTATTGAGCCATGGATGATATGAAGACCAAAGAACGTAGAGTACCTCACAAAGAACGAAAGAGAAAGGCAAAGAATAACATGTGGTAAGTGAATGTAAACGTTACAAGTCAAGGGAAAGAAACCAGCAAAGAAATCGCGGTGCAGCACGTCCCGACATAATAAAAAGTCAGATTTACGACAAGATTTCATCATGACGGTGTGGGCGGCACCGAGGATACAAAGATTGGGCAGCCCTAGGTAGCTACCGATGTTACTTACTCACTTGTAGGTTTTGCCAGGACTTTTCAGCCCATGCTCTACTGTATAGTGCGGGTAGTAGTATCCAGGAATAGGATTATTTGCGAGAACAGAAACTCGCAACTACGCCGTATTTTGAATGCTTGGCGTCCCAGATTGGGAACCTGTCAGTATTGTTACAGTCACTCTTCTGCGTTCCTTCGAACAACCAAGAAGTCTCGTTTCGTAACGTAGTTCGCGGATACGAATGATGACAAGTAGAAACTGAGACTTTGAACCTCAAAATCCAAAAACACGTGGCCCTGCACTGCAGGTAGGAAAAGTCCGATCTAACGTGAACATTATTGAGAGACGAGAAATATTCAAATATTGAATCTCGGTGAGGGGTATCTGATAGACGCAGATCGTGGAGTGATCGATGATGCCATATGCATATTGTCAGCGCGGAGAGTACACATCGTATGCCAACAGAAGGATGATAGAACATTCGATACCCGAGCGAGGGATCTCAATGTTTGACAGAACAGTTATTAAATTCAGCATATACTGAGCATATTGACTTCAGATTCAGCTATGCGTATTCGCTATGAAGGATGCACTGGGCATGTGGCGATGAGGGATGTGGTGCAACGGCGAGTTGAGATGAATACTACCTAGGTAGGTAGGTAGACATGGGATTATAGGGTATGGTTTGCTTCATTGGTAGGGAATGGTAAAGCATTCATGCGCCCTTCAAGGGTAAGAACGAATAGGACGTGTGATCGTTATATTTCAGGTGGGCTGCTATAGTATTTCCGTGGTATTGATTTGGGATTGAATATACTCGAGCATAGGTTACGACAATGGAAAGGATGGTTGCGACGATAATTCGGGTCGCTTACCGGAGATGAAGGGTTATCCATTTTAACCGGACTTCGGAAACGGAAAATCTTACATCACGAGACTCCTCAAATGGTACTAGCGCACCAATTATATAATAGCTAATTTTCATTGGGGGAGGATTGTATTCTATATTTATCTCAATTTAGACCAAAATAGGTAGATATATTTTAGCCTCATTAGGCCTGGTTCGTTGCGAGGTTTTTCCGAAAGCTGATCTTTCCCAAGACCTCACATCCTTCTTGCATACTCGAGTACTACTGTACGAAGTGTGCATTATGCTTACTGCCGCCCCCAGCGACTCCTCCTATAACCCTACCATACATTATTCCTCAGTCCTGGTATTTTATACCACATGGATTACATTCTATGGAACAGGCTTCCAAATGTTTCCCAAGACAATTTGTGCTGCAGTCACTTTTGACCATTGATGGCTGCTCGGACTACTATGTCCACAATCTCAGCGATTCTATCCTTCAACGTCCGTATGCCACTCAGCTCACCAAGAACTTTGTAAGGATTGGATGAATTCAGCCTTTCTATGCTGTCATGTCGGATATTTCGTGTTCTGGGACCATTTCAACACACATCCTTGTTTTGTTTTCTCATCTATTTTCCTTCCCTATCTCATTTACTCTGCATGTCTTTCGCTTCAAGAGGTCTACCTCAAACTGAACACGGCTTTGGATCCCGTGTCCAGCCCGAAGAGCTCGTGTCCGATATCATGTGGAAAATGTGGTAGAAGTTATGGTTCTATGTCGCAAGTAACGTTGTCCTTGGCCGTCAGAAGTTGTGCCCGAATTCAATAGTCTCTATGCTGTACTTACTCTAGAGCGAGATGAAACTTTTGCGTGCTTGGACATTACCTGCTTCATTTCATTTTGCTTCTTAAGCTGGGGCACGCACGCAAATTATTTCACGACATATATCGTCATCTATCTTTCTTGTTCTTCGTTTGTTCTGCAAATAAGACAACACTCGTTACAGCGAACCTTGAGTTCCAAACTTCACAATATTTATACTTCTTTCTAAAACATTCAAAATGTTGCTGTACCACCTCGTTACCCATATTCTTCCCTTGAGCTTGTTCCTAGATGCAGCTTTCGGCCATCGGGTTCATCGCCGAGACTCCGCTGACGCGGTTAATGTGCCTCAATCAGAATCAATTGCGATCACCAATGCCCAGGCTATTATGACATCGACGATTCCTGCCGCACCTCTCGCTACGTTGTCTATAGGCAAAATAGCTGTTCTTGCCAATACCACTGCTCCCACACCTCCTAAGGCAGCGCTCATTACTACCGATGCAGTTGACACTGTTGGTAGTAAAGTTCTTGTCATTGCACGAGATTCGATCTCCGCATACTCTGCCTGGAGTGGGCTTAATGATCGAGGAATCCCATATCAAACCTTGATCGTTCCTTCAGCTGGTATAGCACTACCAGTTTTGAACAGTTCCGAAACTCAAGGCAATTTTGGTCTCATCGTTGTTTTGTCAGAAGTAAGCTACTCGTACCCTGGCCTAGGATATCAGAGCGCATTGACGGCCGACCAATGGCAAGCACTCTACAACTATCAAGCCTCCTTTCGCGTTCGGCTGGTCAGACTTGACTCTTATCCATCCGCTGCCTTTGGTACACAGGCTCTAGGGTCTTGTTGCAATGATGGTGTCGAGCAACTTGTTCATATTTCCGATAATTCGGCATTCCCCAAAGCCGGTCTCAAAACGGGTGCTACCATGAGCTCCAAGGGAATCTACCACTATCCTACTCAGATCATAAACTCGACTTTGGCAAAGGAGTTTTTACAATTTGGAGCTTCTTCCGATGGCCAATTCACTACCGCAAGCACAGCAGGCGTGATAAATAACATTGGTGGTAGAGAACAAATGGTCTTTTATGTTCCATTCTCTACGGACTGGGCTGTTACATCGGTATGGTTGCAACACGCTTGGATCGACTGGGGCACACGAGGCCTATACACTGGATACAGAAGAGCACTATTACTCACACAAATTGACGATATGTTCTTGGAATCAGATATATATTCGCCGACTGGAACGACTTACCGCATCGGCGCAGATGATTTGGCTCAACACATTACATTTATGCGCACGATCAATTCTAAGTTGAATCCTGGAAGCAACTGGTTTATTGAAGTTGGTCATAACGGCAATGGAAATATCGAACAATCTGATGTGTCCGACAAGACTGGAAATGTAAGCATTATTTAGATCATGTGACTTGGGCTTTCTGCCCACCCTATTTTTTCATTTTTGCCTTCTCACCCCGCTCCACTCTGGATGAATCAGGATTAACGTTTTGCAATTCAGATCTGTCGTCCTGGACCTATCGAGTATGCAGAACAGATCGATACACCGCTGGAATTCGTCAAACCCCTTGGAACGGGAAACACAATTTGGCCTACTACAGCGGGTCTTTATGCCAATTATAGCTCCACGTGCTTGAACGATGATCCTTTACTCAAATGGTGGACTACCCCCTCTAATCTTAATGCCTTCGCACATATATCGCACACCTTCACGCACGAGGACCAAAACAATGCGACATATTCCGATGTATACAAAGAGATGACATGGAACCAAGCCTGGCTCGCTGCTACCGGAATTGCTAATGCTGCAAAGTTTAGTCCAAAGGGATTGATCCCACCAGCCATCACGGGACTTCATAACGGAGATGCACTTAAGGCTTGGAGTGACAGTGGTATCATACATGCAGTTGGGGACAATACTCGACCAGCTCTTCTAAATCCTGTAAGTAATTGTGTGGGAATCTTTCGAGCAAAATACCTTCCCGAGCAATCCACAAACGTTGCTCCACTCAAAACCTACTTGATTTGTTCTAACACGGACATAGAACAATGAGCATTGGCCTCTGTTCACGACCATTGCGGCTAATGGTTTTAATGGCATTCAAATAACGCCTCGATATGCAACTAATATCTACTACAACGTAAGTTCAACTTTGTCAAGTCGAAAATAATCGAATCTGACATCAATCAGTGTGATATGCCTGATTGTACCGTCTTGGAGTGGATCAACACCAGCGCCGGATCTGGCAATATTAACACTCTCCTCGAGATCGAGAAACAGACAAATACCAGGCATTTGCTTGGTCTCCACCATGACGCATACATGTTAGTGCCCCTTTCTGCCAAAAGCTCGTTCAATTTTGCTAATTTAGTAAAGGTTTCATCAAGCGAATTGTAAGTTTTGACCCTCATGCTTCTGTTCATCCTCCCCTTTCCTAGATATGGCCTGATGCGGTCCCCTTAAAAGCTCCCACTCGACAATTATTAACTCCTTGATGATCTAGTGCGCTACACAGGAGCAGCAACATACACGATCAACGGAGTGACGGCACAACTCTCGTTGTTCATGGCATGGGTTGAGACTGTGACCCAAGAGTTTGTTCGATTGTGAGTTTATTCATGCTGTATTCTCATCGGCACTGACAGAATATAGGGTTGATTGGCCTATCCTCACCTATAAACATGATGATGTAAGTCGCAAAGACCCTTTTTGATTGTATGTGTCCTGACCGAAAATCAGCTTGCTGCCTTATTCGTCAATCGCATGACACGAGACGCTTGCGGGGCTAGCTTGTCGTATCAACTCGACACCACTGCTTCATCAATCACTGGCTTCACGCTCTTTGCGAATGGTGACACCTGTTCAACACCAATTCCAGTTACGCTCCCCGGCCCAGTCACCGATACCAAAGGAGCCACTACCGAGCAGATTGGTAATGACCCTATAACGTTGTGGGTTACTTTGTCTGGAGCACCCGTCAGCTTCACTTTAAGCACACCAATTGCTGTGGCGAGTAGCTGAGCACGCCGACTTCACTAGCATAACGCAAGAATGTCTTTGGCCTGATCCGAGAAGGGGAGCTGCGACGACGCACCTACACCTACTGCCAGTACCTTTTGCCTTGTGTGTCATTAAAATTCTCTTCTTATCAGTTGGGCACGCGCGTTGTGCTTTCCCAAATTTTGGATCAAAACTTCTGTTCTTCCCTACATCTCAAATCAGGATGATCACCGTTGGGATGAAGGGGCCTTCTTATCTCTAGGTTATATACATCACATATCAATCATAATGGTTTTATTGGCATATGAACTGCTCTCCTTTCACTACCACCAGCCTAAATGTGACCCTACAAAAAGCTTTCCTCTCCTTCTCCATCGGTGAGCCAAGACTTACAATACCTTTATCAAAACATATCCCAAATTTGTCCAGAGATCAAATTGTCAAATATTACCTCCCAAAACAGGAGTATTCGCTACCAGCAGACAAATTTCAAGGCCCGGAAGACTCGGGTTACACAACATATAAGAACCTGACTCATGCATGCCACAATCACACCATCTCACCGTATCCGTACCGTTTCCCCGCAAAGTCTCCTGCAAAGTTACAAGGCTTACTAAAGTGCCTACTCCTACTTTCCTAAAGTTCCTATCTGTATATGCATATGATCATCTCATCTCTTTGTTTATATACGAGGTTTGAAAAAGTGCAGATTCCTACAGACAATCCAAACAAGGGACTACACCGCTTTGCATATTGGCGTATGATTACACGTTTATTTTTATAATTACTTTTGTTTGATACGAGTTATGCAGGGCGGCTCAGTGGCACACACATTCTCAATACTACAGTATCACTGCATCCCCAACCCAGCCTTCCAGCCTTTTCAGAATGTACAGGTAGGCTTTGTGAGCTTCGTGCTTCGCTGACCCAGAAAGTCATCTCATCTTTCTCAAATATGCACCATAACCATAGCCCCTGGAATGTACCCTACCGATACTTATATTAAAACACGGTATATGGAAATTGTGTCTTCGCAAATGGTGTCTTTTGGAATTGATATGATATGATGGTGCCCTGAACAGGCGTCAACACTTCAGGTGTCCATTCTACTCGAGTAGCATAGCAATAAAGCGTTACTTCTACCTAATTAATGAAAGACTCGTAAAACGAACATGCTGAAAGTTGAATCCTATTATTCTCTAGCTCTAGTTCATGTCGTATCATATCGTCTCGCATTATATCGTATAATATCGAACCACGACAACGACAACGCAGAATAAAAAAAAAATCAGACGTTTCTGAAAAAGCGAAGGCCAAGTGTGCCACCAAAGCTTGGATTGCGAGGGATGATTATGTATCACAACATACTACATATGCGCCAAGCATTGATACGATGCTTCAATGTACCTAGGTATGTATCCAGAAAGGAAAGCCGAGGTACATGACAGGGCACAACATGGCAGCGCATTACACTACCTTCTCGGTTCCAACGCTGGAACTCGGAGGTATTACAGCCCAAGCAGAGAAACAAGAAACATTGCTTCAACCGTCGTCGCCCGTTTTCAGCTGGGGAAATTTGATAATTGCGAATATAAGTCTAGCGACAGCCTACAAGCTCGTTTGGAACCGGAGGGGTTCATTTTCTCGATGGCTTAGCGGAACAAGTGAGGCTGTGTATATTGGTTGAATAAGGGAGGGCGTTTCCAAGGTCACTCGGTGTTTTTACTATATAGGATCATCTAGTGAATCTCAGTCCATACATAGAAAGCCATGCAACGAAAACGTTGGTACAGCACTTAAGGATCGCGTAAAAACTTTTACCCACTGCCAAGCTAATCAACTTGTCGTATTTTATTTCCATCCATTTCAGGGTCCAGCCTGATTTTTTTCTCCGAACTCCTAACTTCTAGCAAATCAGGGGTATAAAGTCCGTGGTTGCAGTCCACCATCGAATCGGACTCCTGCCATCACCCAACATGTCGTCAGGAGGAATATTCAAATCCCCCCTCAAGAGCGAATCCCCCATGGCAACACCACTCACGGATCTCAAGCAAGAGAAACCTGCAAATCCACACAAAATCTTCACCAGGAAATGTAACATTATTCTTGGTCTGATCTTCCTCTTCCTTCTCGCTATTGCATTGGCACTAGGTCTCACATTCGGTCTACGCAATCGCCATCCCTCCCCTCCAGCTTCTAGTCCTACCCCACCATCATTTCCGCCCCCTCCTACCAACGTCTCCTTTTGGGCCCCAAATCTCAACGCTTCCAACAGCTGGAACATCGAGCTACTAACGCCACTGGACCCCGTAAACATATATTCGAATACCACCATCTATGACATCGATCTCTTCCTTGCAACCAATACCACCCCCTCCGTAATCCGTACCTTGCAGTCGCAATCCCACAAAGTAATATGCTATTTCTCAGCCGGCACCATCGAAACCTTCCGTCCCGACACCGATCGCTTCCTCCCTTCCGATTACGGCAAAGTGCTTCCTGACTGGCCCAACGAACACTGGGCCAACACATCCTCCCCAAACGTGCGATCCATCATGCTCACACGTCTCGACCTGGCGGTCAATCAATCCTGCGACGCAGTGGATCCTGACAATGTCGACGGTTATTCCAACGACAATGGGCTTGGATTAACACAAGAGGATTCTATCGATTACATGCAGTGGTTGGCGGCCGAGGCCCACGGTCGAGGCCTTGGGATTGGCCTAAAGAATGCTGGCGAGATCATCGATCGTGTGTTGGGCTATGTACAGTTTGCTGTCAATGAGCAGTGCGTGCAGTACCAGGAGTGTGACACATGGCAGGCATTCATTGACAATGGTAAGCCTGTGTTCAACATCGAATATCCCAAAGATGCGCCCAAGGTCAGTCAAGCGGAAAAGAACACTGTATGCGAAGACTCAAACACACAGGCGGAGGGCTTTTTCACCATCATAAAAAAAATGGAGCTGGATGATTGGGTGGAAAGCTGCTGAGGCAGACATGGAAGCCTGGCTTCGTAAAGATCCGGAGTGGTGTTGGGGTGCATTTTAGCCTAAACAGAATACGATGAGGCTTGAACGGTATCGTGTACCAATGGATCTTCTCACATGCTTATTTGCAGCGATATTAAGACTCAAATATACTAGTCCTGTAATATTTATAGCTATTTCTTATGTGGTACCAAGGAAGCAAGTGCATGATACATAATCGTCTACTAGGACCTGTGAATGCGACTAAGAAAATATCGTACTCGCCAGAAAGTCCGCAACTCGGGAACTAAAGAAACTAGGCTACTCCCTTGTAGTTTACCATCATAAGGTACGTGCTGGATTACCCGAGTTGCGGAGTAGTAAGTGGGTACGTACCCTGGATTATCACGATTCGCGAAATGTCAACCGCCGTCAAGTCTCGAACTTCCAAAATCATGAATGAGTCCTTGGGGGAAAACATGGGAGTGTGATCCCTCCGCAAATCATCAATGTTTTGACACATAGAAACTCAGCCTGCATGTCATGACTAGGATTTTTGCAGCAGGTAACTATAATTACCGAAGCTTCGCAGGATTTTATCCATGGTAATATATGGTTGGTAGTTAGTATATAGTAAGTAGTATGGTAGAGCTTCAAATTTAGACCTGAATTCCCGTGCCTGATATCTTTGGGCACAGCGTCGCTGTGCCAGTATGATGATGATATGCATGAGCCCTATCGATCCAACGATACTCCAAATGGGAATCCGTACTTGCCGGCTCCGAACCTTTTGCCCTGGCGTCAACACTATGCTAGGTAATCAGCCTTCCTACTGTAGGTAAATATTGGTAGCACTCCTAAACGATGCAACTCTGATCTGACTGACTTGGAGGCTGGAGCGTACCTTAAGCCCTGTCAAGCTGCCACGAAATAATGGAGACCTTCCGATTGCGGGGTACTAAGACAGGGTATAGGGTGGTGGAGTTGCTGCAAGAGGTCTAATGCAACCACTCAACTGCAGGGTTCATGAACTTCCTGATCTAGCCGTTCGATATAATATAGGAAGCGATATAAAACATTTAATCATTAAATTTTTAAGTTCTATAGATTTTTCGCGTCGTTTTATTACATTCAAAACTGTGATACTTGAAACAGAACAGCTCATTCGGGTAGAAGGGCCGATGCACAATTTGTTCATGCCATATTTCATGATTACCGCTGAACAAGCCATGCTTATTCCACAAAGGATCTAGCCGTATAGAAGGCGCAGGGGTTACCGTCTCATTGCATAATGGGCGGTCAATGTTCTCCGGAGTTCGCCTCCAAAAATAACCACATAAAGCAAAAGGATCGTGGTTGACCCGAAGGTTCTTTCAACTATCTTGGCAAAATGCTAAAACCCGTATTGCCGTTCCAATGGCTCTCGCTGCTTCCGCGGAATCCGACTTCAAAACATGACAATTGAGTTCAAAACGTAGATACCAATACAATACACACGGCGCAGCAATGGATGCTGAGACGAAATGAGGTTCCCGTTCCAGATCCTCCTCAAAGGCTAATAGCTTGGATGAACTGTTCCCAATGTTCCCCCAAGCTGGTGTAGAGATCTGTAGTCTGACTAGTGATGAAGAATGTCCCCATAAATGGCTTCAGCTTTTGAATCTCAGATGCTACGTCGGAATATGTAGTCATCAAAGGAGCTGGTACAGAGTGCATCACGCACGCCAAACGTCCCCGATCCACGTTGAGATCCTTAAGAGCTTTCTCGCAACCGCTTTCGTGATACGTCTGGTGTGTTGCCTCGAATACTACAGTAACATCCGGTAAACAAGAACCAGACATCAATCTCCAGTGTGGAATTGTTCCTGGGTTGTGAATGATCTGCTCGGAAATGACAGTCAGCGTTAGCAGTAGATTTTAGAGTATGGACGTACAAGAGGCTCTGCTCCCAGATTAGAACAGCTTTTTACCGCGGCGTTGATGTTCCCCAAGAATGAAGCATTTGATGCCGTCCATTGGTTCGGAGTTTCGTCAAAGAATATGCCTCGCACACCAAGCCCATCATCTTCGAGCCTCCACCCCGCGTAGATCATCACATCTTCTAGAACACTCGAATATTGCCTGTTTGCATATGCAGTGGAAACATAGCCGACAACCTCAACGTTAGGGCATAAGTTCAATTTTCGAATCTCTCTTTTGTAGTTAGTATCAAGTGATTGCCCTGGACCATTGTGAGGATTAACCACGACAATGAATTTGATACCCGGATACGTGGAGATGCTATTGTTCAGTCAGCCCCACGATCAATATCTTCCAAAGATGGCGTCACCCCCCGACTTGCCTTGAAAGTAAGCGTTCCCATGCACCGGGGGAAGGATAAATGTAAAGGGGGACGAGGACCGTCGATTTGGTAGGTACCGCTGATATAATTTTCTTGAAGAACATTGTAGATTAGGTAGAATCGATGATGAGATGAATCCACCGGCCTGGCTGCTGCAACCTAACTTCCTCTTCAAGGTATGCTGAAGATGTCGCGAAAAGTCCCCAAAGAAGGAAGGCAAAACTTCAAGCCTCTATATCGATTTTCTTTTGTAACGGCTGACCCGGACGAGAGGGATTGCTTGAAATTGCACTTCAGCAGTTATTGGAATCAGTGTGGCCCGATATGGCACGCAATGTAATCACGCAAAGTCTTGGTAATGGTCTGCGGCTGCGATACAGGCGAAAGGCGAAAAAAAAACGTGTTATAACTATAATTGTATACGAGTATTAGCTTAGACGACCTTACAGTGAAAAAAAAGTATAATATGAAGAAGTCTAAGCCTTGGGACCAACGCATTCGCTACATCGTACCTTATCTTTACAGGGATTTTACCGACAATATGCCTGGTTCAACAAATTCTTCCAGAAATTCGGGTGCCTCGACTCCTGAGCGATTTAATTATGGTAACGAAAACAGTGCTACCGGCACCCCTTTAACAGAAAGATCCTTAATATTCGATGCCGATGATATTGAATTTGCCGTTAGAAATGCAATTAACGACAAATGGATACTGGTCGTTGGTGGTTTGGGGTTCATCGGTAGTCACACAGTCTGGGAACTAGCCAAAGCTGGGTACAATGTAGTGATATCACTCTCAATTTCTTCGGCAATAGCTAATCAGTTTGAAGGTGGCCGTGGTAGACAATCTCAGCAACTCGTTTTTCACCGTCTTCGAAAAGCTTCAGATGATGGTCGATCAACATTACAGTGTTCAGGGTAAACTTAGACACCGACCAACACTCAAGTTTCACAACACGGACTTTAGAAACATCAGCAAAATGACGGCAATACTCGAAGAATATGACTATCCTGGCATAATGAGCTTCGATTCGAGTTCGCTGACTCTTTGCAACGGGCAACGATCATGCATCTCAGGCGTGATACATTTCGCGGCGTACAAAGCTGTCGAGGAGAGTATTCAGCAGCCCCTAAAGTATTATTCCAACAATGTTGGCGGCCTTGTTGATTTCTGCTCTCTTCTGCAAGAATTTGGGATTAAGAAAATGGTATTCAGTTCTTCTGCAACAGTTTACGGAACAATTGCCGATACTGGGGTACCGCTCCGCGAAGAATATGTGGTGGGGTCAGGATGCTCGGGTCTCACAAACCCCTATGGACGCACAAAATGGATGTGCGAAGCAATCTTGAGCGATCTCGCCAATTCTGACCCCGACTGGGAGATCACTGCACTGCGCTACTTCAACCCGATCGGATGCGACGAATCAGGCTCGTTGGGTGAAGACCCTCGAGTTGCCGCCTCAAATTTGATGCCGGTTGTTTTGCGGGTGCTCACTGGAGCACTACCCGCGCTGAACGTGTATGGCGATGACTATGACACTCACGATGGTACGGCTGTAAGAGATTATATCCACGTCACTGATCTCGCACGGGGACATTTGGCAGCTCTCAGCAATCGACCAAGCGGTGGTTTTAAAGTCTATAACCTTGGTACCGGTCAGGGATACTCAGTGCTCGATGTTGTGAGTGCGATGGAGCAGGCTACCCAGAGCAAGATCCCCATCAATATTGTGGGCAGAAGAGGAGGAGACGTTGGGAAATGCGTAGCACTAGCGGACAAAGCGGAAGAGGAGTTGATGTGGAAGACGGAGAAAAGTCTGGCGGATTGCTGTAAAGATTTGTGGCGATTTCTGGAAGGCACCGCGATCACAAAAGGACAAGCAAATTGACGAGCGTGAAGTGGGCGGTTTTGTGTAAGATTTACTTGGAGATATCTTTGATTGCGATCAAAAGTTTATACAACTCTCTTAAATAACGCGTTGAGGGCCGGTAATTAAATTGTTTTCAACAGACTCGGTGTCAATGCGTGTGATCCTGCTTACATGAATTTGATCACATGACTCGGAAACTTCCTATCAGGAACAGAAGACTGCATTCAAAAGTCAATAGAAAATCAAAAGTATGTACGTCCAAGTCGCTGATGAGGGATAATAATAATTTAGTCTCTTCTATAATGAAACACTTTATTTCGAGTTATTTTGAACTTCTCAAAATGTGGAAAAGTGCATCCGAAATGTAGGACACATGGGGAGTTTGATGATCAATCTCCTCCGCAGACAGCGAGGCCCTAATCCTCAATCTTTCAAGATAACGACGCCGAAAAAGCCACCTTCAACGTGCATCTCACATATGTCGTCCAGTCCCAACACGAGATTCAAGTAACGTTGCGAAGTTACACCTGAGGGTTGTTACATAGAGGAGAATGGGGCAGAACAACATCAAGGTAACGTATATTAAACAATGTTATGGAGAAGTGCCAGAAATGGCTTGTGAATAAACTATATACATACTTGGCGGATATCATTCCTTCTTACGCCATATGCACAATGCACCGTCCTGACCTGTATCCTCGGTTCTTACTCCTCGGCTCTTACGCTCGCTTTCACATATGCTCTGCCAAGAGAAGGAACCTAAAATGCACATATCATAGTAAATAAACCCATCAAATACATAATTTACAATGTCTATTCAAAACCATTTTGCCTTTGTCGTCGCTCAGTCCAACAACCAGTGTTTGGAGCTCTCGAGAGTACTTATCTCTTTTGTCCACAGTTCCGTGCTTTCGATTTTGTTCTCTGGTTCCTGTCTGTCTTTTCGAATTAACCTTTGAATCCAAGGGTCGAACATAGGGAGCTCGATATCATTTCTTGTCATATGCGGTGTCCACATGCCTCCCATGGCGATCTGTGCTTTAGGCAACGGCACGGGCGTCCATGTTTTTGGAATGATAAGTGCCAAGGATGCAACAGAGTCAGTGAAGGTCCCGGTGGATTTTGTAGTCAATGCGGATATTGAGCTCCTGGCGGGAAACGTAGACAAAGTTTGAAGCCAGTCGATTTCGACTTTGGTAGTGAAGCTGGGGAGAAAGAGTTCTGATGATTCCAGTCTTGGGAGATCGGTTCGGGAGTGAGTTGAAGACTTCTGAACATATGGTTTAATGCTCTTCACGAAGATGTTGGGGCGGAAAACCGCAGCTGACGTAGGTAACTTCCATGTGCCTGACACCTTCTCCGTTGTGGTCTTTGGGGATAAGCTCCACAGCCTTTCGGCTTTGGAATGAGGCTCGATGAGAGGCTCATTGGTAACTAGTTTCTCAATCTCGTCTTTCTCTGCTTTGAGGTCCCCAGCATTTAGTAATTCGGCGATCTCCTCTTCAGTAAGGGTGTCCACATCGGCCATTAATTCCTCGAATGTAGGTGCTCCAACGGACTGTGCCTCGATCGTCTCTTTGGCGATTTGCTCCTCATTCAAGAGCTCTGGAAGAGATACACGTAGCCAATTGAATTCCTTTTTCTTCATGGTCTTCACTTTGAACAACTCTGTAGAACTCAGAAGAGGTAATGTAGAAGGGCTAGCAGTAGAAACTCTCTTGAGATAACCGGCTTTCATATCCGAAAATAGGTCTGGTGTAGATTTTGTTGATACTGAAGATGCTGCCCACATCATAGATTCTCTTGGGGTAGCGATGATAGTTGCAATGGATGCACGTAGCCAATGAATTTCCGTTTTGTTAACGATCTTCACTTTGAATAGCTCCTTAGAACTCAGACGAGGTAAAATAGAAGGCCTAGCAGTAGAAGCTCTCTTCAGAACACCGGCTTTCACATCCGCAAATAGGTCTGGTGTAGATATTGTTGATACTGACCACATCATAGATTCTCTTGGGGTAGCGATGATGGTAGGTATGATCGTTGCAATGGATGCACGTAGCCAATCAACTTCTACCTTCGACTCGTTTTTGGGTTCGAAGAGCTTGAAGGACTCTAGATATGGAAGTGTAGATAATCGAGGACCAGAGACTCTTCCAGTAGATTTGTGAATATAGTCGTGCTTTATGTTCGTAAACATATCAGGCACAGAGTTGATTTTTGCTAGGGATGGTTCCCACATCAGAGTATCACTTTGGCTGGCAACCGTAGAGACAGTGTGGTTCTGGAAGAGGAAGTTCTTGCGTGCGTGAGCCTTGATTGAAGTATGAAGCCAGTCAACTTCTACCTTCGACTTGTTTTTGGGTTGGAAAAGCTTGAAGGACTCTAGACGTGGAAGTGCAGATAATCGAGGACAAGAGACTCTCTTGGTAGCTTCGTGAATATAGTCGTGCTTCATATTCGCAAACATATCAGGCACAGAGTTGACATTTGCCTGGGATGGTTCCCACATCAGAGCATCACTTTGGCTAGCAACCGTAGAGACGGTGTGGTTCTGGAAGAGGAAATTCTTGCGTTCGTGAGCCTCGATTGAAGTATGGAGCCAATTCCTCGAATTGAGTGGGATTTGGAATGGTTGCCAAAGCTCGTCAGATTCTAAAGTCGGCAATCTCATAGTGTGTTGTACAGAAACTCGTCGAGTGGAGTCACATGCCAGCTGCTCAAACCTTGCCTGAATTTGACGTGCTGGTACAAATGGGGTTTCTGTCCACAGACCACCAGTTGTGATTGACGTCATGCTCGTTAACTTCAGGGTCCACAGACTTGACACGGTCATTGGACGAGAACCTGCCAATATTGCATATCCGATACAAGCAGGGTGAATATCAGTTACAGTTGAGACGAGAGTAGTAGTGAAGAAGACGGGATGAAGAACAGCAGAGTTAAAATTGGGGTTTTGAACATATTCCATAGCCACGGGTTGAATATCGCTTGTACCCGAGATCATAGATTTGGTGAAAAGTACCGGATCTAGAGATGTAATATCAAGGCTTGGGTCAATATCGGTAGCCATTGCCGCTATACTTTGTTGAGTCTCGATAACATTGAGTGTCTCTACTGCCTTCTTGGGGATTCCTGCGACGATAGCCTCTTTGAGTGCATCCTTCCACATAAATGAAAAAGCTGCCGGACGCTGCATTCGTGGTGTGCCCTTAGAAATGGCTTTCCGCAGTGCTCGGTCCCAGTCCTCGACGCTGGTAGTGAGACGTAAGAGCTTTGTATGTCCAGAAGCAGCAGGATGAATGCTGGCTACGTCTGAGACGAGGGTTTCGGTAAAGAAAACAGGGTGGAGTATTGCGGGATTATATACCTCGGAGTATGTTGGGCCGATAAATGCAGTTTCCTTTACAAGGGTTTCTGCAAGACTTGATTCCGATGGTCCCATAGATACCTGGAGACGATCGATACGTGGTGTTCCTTGATATACAGCTTTAGCCAGAGCAGAGTCCCAATCAGCAGCTGTTGCTTTAGATCTCGACATTCCGGCGATGATAGCATCTCTCAAAGCATCCTTCCAATTGGCGCGGAAAGCCATAGTCGGCCTGTATTGATGTCTAATAGCTATATGGACGGGCTTCATTGGCTTCATGGGCATCACGGATCTTCGAAATCTCGGTAATTGAGGTTTCTCGGAGCCAGCAGGGATTCTTGCCTCGAACAGGTCTCGGGATGATAAAACATTTGATTGCCTGAATGGTATGGTGGGCAAAGCCTTCGGAGTAGGTCTTGCACTAGGTTTGAGAGAGCCCTGGCGAAGAGGAAGCTGTGACTGGTACTTGCTTGGGTCAGCAGGAGGTGGCGGTGGTGGGATAAACTCTCCCTTCTTTTTGGCTGAAAGCGTCCTCCTGATTGAAACAGGGTCTAAAAAGAAGAATGACGATGCTCTGGTACTTGTAGAGGCAATGGATGATGCATCTGATATATCAGGCGATGATCTTCCAGAACTTGCCTCTGATGCTATTGATGGACTACTTGGTCGAATTGATGATTCTGAAATCCAATCGTGGTCACGCTCTAGGTTCAATAGACATGGACGGCGCCAAAGTCTATGTGATACCAATTTTGAGAGGGTTCCTGGCGTGCTTCGTACCTTGGAGGTCAAAACCAATGCCGCCGGTTCTAGCTCGGTGGTGCGATAAATGACACGAGACGATGTTGGCTGAAATAGACCCTGAGCGACTACATCTGCAACGACCAAACTTGGAGTCCACATAAAGGGCCGGCTAGTGGCAACGCTTGGTAAATATGCTTTGGCCTTATTGATTAACATCCAGTTCCTGCTCGTGCGCGGCGCGAGTTCTTCCAATGACCATAATTTAATAGACGAGAGTACTGGCAGTGTGTATGAAATCACCCGCGGGATCGTTTTGAGGTCAATGGCAGCCGGAATCTCGGCAGTTGAGCGGAAGTTTTGTCGCTTGGCTTCTACGGAGAAAAGACCAGAACTTGGAACTTCGAGAAACACTGCTGGAGGAGTCCATGTGAGGGTCCTGATAGTGATCAGCGGTAACTTGGGCTCAAAGTATTTTTCTGCAATTAAGTCAACTTCCTCCGGATTATCGAGCTCTTGCCCGCTCCAAAGACTGTGGCTTGTGAGTTTTGGCATTAGAAATATTGGACGAGGCTTTGTTCTTGTTGCGTCCTGCGATGATGGGATATATGATTGCCAAACATCAGAAGCTGGTTGAGGTAAACCATATTCAGATCTCTTGGTATACAATGGCGTGGTACTACTCCAAAGCAGTGTCTTTCTTGCCGAACTTCTGGATGAATCATCTAAAAGATCGAATAAATCTCGAGAGCTCTTTTCGTCAAATTTAGCAAGTGGCTCTGCCGTATCAGGAACAACCTCTTCATCAGGGTTCGAGTCATCTTCTTGAGAGAATATGACAATTGAGTTCCTTTCCTCGTTATGGTACTCTTCATGATACTCATTATTGAAGACCTCATAATCTTCATTTTCCGAGCTGAAATCGGTCTCAGAGCTAGTCTCATAATCGTCGTAATCTTCGATAATGTCTTGCAAAACGGGCATTGGCGGTAGGAGGCTATTTTTTGAGGGGAGGTCAGTAGTCTTGAGCATGCTTGCAATTTCCCACAAAGTGGACTCGTCAAAGTCATCGTCACTTTCTGGATCCATCTCATAGTCAAGCTCATCTTCCTCATCGTAATCATCAAAGAAAGATGAAGACGAGTATTCTGAAAGCTCGGGCTCCAATTGACGAGATCTAGAATCGAGAGTCGCGTTCAAGACTGGTCCGGCCTGAGACGTTGGGTTATAAGTTGAGGGTAATGCTGTATCAGATCGCTCCCCCCATGGAAACAAGAATATTCCCAATGTATCGCGTTTATGAGGAAGAGGTTCAGGGTTCTCGACTACTTATTGTTAGCCACATACTTCTATATTTAGCATTAAAACGGCAACAGTCACATACCTATGTCCGCTAAAAGCGTGATACGCTTAGATCTTCTTGGGGGTTTTTGGGTCACTGGTCGGGATTTGACGGTAGACGCTCGAACTGATGTTGATCCCCACAATGCCTGCACCAAAGCAATGTTGGATTGCATATTCGAAGACGACTTTGACCACAAGTCACCACTGCTGAGTAGTGGTTCACTTTCGCTTCGTCGCTGAGCGGGCCGGAGATTCTTTGCTGGAGGATCGGGAGATTGATTGGACTCCGGGGAGGGCCTGCCATTGGCAGAGCTCCAAAGCGATGAAACAGCTGCTTTGGGCGATTGCACTACTGACTGCCACAATAACTCTGGATGATATGGTAAAGAGCTTGATTCTTCATCCTCCATAATTTCTCCCTCGCTTTCATATTCGCTTTCGGATTCTCTTCCGAAATCCTCGTCGAATTCGCTCTCCGGCTCGCTCTCAGGTGGAGTAGGGCTATCCATTGGCGCACGCGGCGCTTTGGACACCGACAAGAAATTTATACTACTATTACGGGAATGGGTGACTTTTGGCGCATTCTCCATGTAAGATATTTGGGCATTAGCTAGGCGCTGTTGCCAGGCACCAAGACTAGAATTTTCTTGAATCTGAGAAGATGTTATGTCCTCTCCCACAGATGTTTCAATCAGAATATCTCCATCACTGTTATTTAGAGGTCGAGAAGAACTACGGCGTAATCCTAACGATAATCTTTGCGATGGTGCTATCTCCATGACAGATCTTGTCAGTTCAGGAGAGGCCTGTAATTGAGGAGTCGCAAGAGTGCCGATTGAGGACATGGAGTCTCGACTGAGGTTCTGATGCATCTGTTGCCAGTCATTCTCCTGCTCGCCCATCTCTCTCTCAAGATTTTCAAGTAATCGAAGCCTCTCCATAATATCATCATTGTCAAAGCTTTCAACTTCTTCCGTCTCTGGCATACGACGAAGAATTGATTCTAGTGATAATCGTCTTGGTTCTTCAATTCGATTCAACTGGTCTTGAATCTGTTGGAGAGCCTTTCCTGGTGAATCTAATGGTGGAGACGGTTCAGCTTTGCGAATAAGCATTGGAGATGTTCTTCCACGTGGAGGCTCTAAAAGTAAAGCTGTTGGAGGTGACATTTTCCGGGAACCATGCTTCGATCGTCGATCAGCGAAGGCGAGGAGCTCGTCACCAACACGACGATGCCATGACGGAGGAGAGTGTGTTGCTTCAACAGGTAAGCCATTGATATCGAAAATGAAAGATTCTCCATCATCAGCCACTGATTCTGCTATGGACCTTCGATGTTCAGCAGAGTCCATCATAACAACCATGACCTCATCTCCTTCAACTCGATCTTCCTCTATTGGGATTTCCGACATCCTTTCTAATTTCTCAATATCAGGCGTAAACCTTTGACTTCTCAGTGGCGAAAATGCAGAATAAGATGAGTATCTGTAGGTGTCAGATGCACTCGACGGACTAATCATGTAATCTTCTTCCAAATAATTCGACTCTTGAACATTCGTGATACGAGAATCGTTTGAAACCATTTCGCTTCCCAGCTTGAGAATACTTGTATCGGTAGAATCATGGCTTGGCAGCAATGTCACCGCCACACTTTCTACTGCATTTGAACGATAAGTTTCGCGATTTAAGTCGGCCTCTGGCGAATCTTGTTTGGCTGGATATTCGTCTGGGCTAAGTTGCGCAATGGTTGTCGTCCGTTTCGAGATGAGTTTATTCTGCAGGTCTGACTCGATCGAGGTAGCCAATTTCCTAGCCATGCTCGGAAGATCTGGAACGGACGATCGGCGGTTATTGGGTAAACTTACCCCTGGCGGAGCTGGAAACAAGAATTGTATTTTTTCATTGAATGTCATGCTTTTGGTATCATTAGGTAAAAGCTTCTTCAGTTCGGAAGCAGTATATACTGGAGGTGGTTTTGGAAGTGGAGGTAATTGTGATGGACTACCTGGGGTAACGAAGAGGGATTTCCTGTTCAAAATTGAAGAGCTTGATTTGGCACGTCTATGAGCTGGTAGAGGCTCACTTCCAAACATTCCACTATTTTTATGTCTCGGAATAGGCCTCGCCCTATGGACTACGGATTCTCGTATTTGAAATCCTGATGAAGTATAAGGGGTCAAGGGCGATAGTTCCGCCAAAGATTTCTGATTAGAATGTCCAGAAGTTTTACTGATGATAGACTGTACTATTGCTGGGTTGTCGTAAACAATATCATTCATTAACATGACCGTTGGTGGTTGAGGTGCTGTGTTCTGCCGAGGCATCATTGATCTCTGAGATCTAGGATTCGATGGCAACCCTGCGATAGGTTTAAAAGTCTGCTTCTCCTCCAGGGTTTCTAAATTATTGATTCCTCGTGGTGAGCGACGCCGCACCTCATCAAATGCAGGAGAAAGTGATGCAGAAGTTGACAGCCCTGATGCCGCCATCCAATCTTTGGATTGATCTGGTACCCTTGTTCGTGTATAATAATCGTTCTTGTTTTTGATATCTTCCGGTGCCATTGTTGGTCGCATAGGGACCGCCCTTGGAGTGCTGAAAGGAGACTTTTTGCCGGCCGTTGCTCTTCGTTCGCGGTCATTCATAGCAGCAGTCTTGAGATCGATTGTTGCTATTCGGGCAAAAGCTGTATCAGGGTCCGTTTCCTCATTAACAATAGGTTTCGAGATAGGAAGTCCTCGAACAGATATTTTTGGACGTTGGACAGAGGCTAGAGTAGACGTGGAAGTGTTCACTGCTTGACTGGAGCCTAACGATGATGCAGCAAAGATGGCGGGGAAAACACCGCCTGGGGCTTGATATCCCGAAGCATCTCGCGCCGTTTCTGAATCTCCAGCGTCGGTGAGTTTCGTAAAACCTCGCATATCTCTTTGGGTTGGTGTCGAGGAAGGATTGACTATGAACAATTGGGTTTTAGTTCCAGAACGACCAACTATTGGGGATCCTTCGGCTCCTATACCGTTTTGGAACATCCCTCGAGATGGTGCCATTGGGCTGGTGGAAAATGGAGATCGTGCACCCGCCGTCACAGAATCTTCTTGTTTAGGGGACAACAATGCCACTGGGAAAAGGGTAACGATGCCTACGAAGTCTATTAGGACATGTCAAGAATCGTAAACGGGTAACACTTACCAACGAGCACAAGGAGCCCATTTGCAGGTACGACGGTTCGAACGATTAAGCTAATGCTTGAAAATCCAAGAATCATGGGTACACTGGTCTGAAGTTCGTATTAGTAATTGAATCAAATAGAGCTTCCCAGAACATACTCCAGTCCAGACCGCGAAGCCTCCAATGACAAACAACAAAGCTCGACTCTGCGCTTTTCGATCTTCACGGCGATCCCCAAACATTCCTAAAGAGCTGACCTGGACGAGCAAGGCTCCAATGATGATGACGTCCATGACCAGAACTACAATTGCAACCGGTAACAACGATGTATTGGCGACACACGTAGGTGCGAATTGAGGACGAGTAAATCCCACCAAAACACCCCCTACAATCAATCGGATGGCCAATAGTCCTTGCAGGATAGCTCGAATGGCGGTTATCTTCGTTCCATGTCCAATTGACCACAACAAAAACTGTTCAAGTGCTATCCTTGCCAACTGATCGAATCCCGTCGTAAATATTAACCCAATCTGACAAATCCCGGTAGCAGTCGTCGGCAGTAAGAGCTCCAAGAAATCGATTTGCGCCCACAGAACAGAAAACAACAAGAACAGCACGAGGACCAGCCTCCGGCCGTCCTTGAAAATAGTTGAACCATGACCTCTAGAATATATAAGCAATGCGCCAGTTGCTGCCTGCAGAAGGATACCACTATATTGACTTTTAGCAAGGACGATCAAAGATACCCTGGATGAATGAACCAACAATGAAAAGGCAGCCGATAAGGCCTGAATGGCATCCGGTATACCCATCGCGGCGCAGCATAAAAAACAAAATTAATTATAATGTAAAAATCCCAATCTATGGGCGAAAATGTTAAGAATAGAAAATCATAAGGGACATTAGGTTTGTAGCTATCAACGGGAGCTCATGTTCGGCGCCGGCGTCGTCAACAACCAGAATTGTCAATATGAAAGATGTTTAAATTTGAAGAAAAAGAAAAAGTACTAGAATGCAAGATGATTTCATAGCAGGGCCACCATGACTCCAGTAGTATCGTACGATTGAAGAAAACGTCTACTGAGCGGGTTCCCAAACGACGATCACGGCATGGCATCTATTCGGTTTGGAATGACTGCCCCAAAATGGGTAAGTACCTAAGTAAACTGTAACGCAAGCTCTAACAATGACAGGTACCGGCATTGAGTAAAACGAATATTTTACTAGAGGATAGAACTAAAAGAAGGACATGTATTGGACAATAAAGAGTTGTGATGGGGGTTCAAGTTGTTCTGTGCGTAGATATTGCCAGGAGGGTGTGGTTTCGCTTGAAACGCACTAAGTCTCACAACCACGGGGCCACGTGCCTTCTCCGAAGGTTCATAGTTTTGTATTCGTCAATTAAACCGTATAGAATTTGAAGATTGAAGTGATTTGATACTTATCAAGCTGCAAGGAAGAATCGATAGAATAATGGAAGGGACGAATTGAATAAATAGAAATAATAAGGTTTTGGCAAGGCAGCGGCTAGGTCTGCATACTTTCGTAGCTTCTTCAATCTGTGGTATCGAAAACCGCCTCAAAGACTTCAAGAATAAGATCACCACAACAATACCTAATGCCATGGTGGATTCGAGACAGGAATAGTTGTGGAGAATATTCGATGACAAATAAATACTTAGGTACGTTTGCTTTACCGGTATCGGTACCGTACTTGGCTAATGTATCTTCGAGGAACAGGTCCGAGAGAATGTATCCCAATTTCCCAAGGTCAGTGAGTCTTCATAGACTGGTCTTGGCCAGAAAACGCATCCCAATCTCCCAAGGTCAGTGAGTCTTCATAATCATAGCCTAGTCCTTACCGACAATTTTACGAGGCTAAGAAAGAGCCCGTTCGGTGTCCAGCTCATGTATATTTCGAATTTGCTAAGTGGCTTACAGATTGAATAGCCTGATGAGTATAAAATCGTAGGCTCATAAATTCGGAAAATTATATTGAATATACTACGAGTAATTCAATCGATAGATCACAAAGGAATATTTGTTCGATATTTATATCTAGAATAAGATTTGGAAAAAGATATCTGAGAAATTCTATTATTAATTTAAATAAGAATCTTTGAAAAAAAAATTCCTAAGAGTTTATAAGCTTAGTATAAAGTAATTACTTTTACACTAGCAAGTAGACTAATCGAGTAATTATAATATTGTTATAATACTAGTGAATATCGTTTATATAATATCGCGTCTATATAGATCTTGTCGTTCTCAAAAGTGAGAGTATAAACATATTTGTAAGGAGTGATTTTCTTTGAATACACGTTATGAAATCAGGTATATATAATATAGAGAATAGCCGGAACTCTCTCTAAAAACCTCGGTTGATTAAGTCTCAGGAGTGCTGTCTGGGCAGCTAAGCTAGGCTAAAGGCTAAAGAGAGTACTTAAGGAACTTTCTTTTTCAGTTTGAACCTCTTAGTTTATCTATAATAACAACTACTCGATTCCTGAGGCTCTACGCTTTACATCCGTGACATTAAGTAATCAGAAAGAGGAGTTCTTGAAGTAGATACTAAATATATACTAGACTACTCGAGTATATTTAAAGTATATCTTTTTAGTTATTGAGCTTATACGAATTTTACTGGAAACATTAAGAATAGTTATTACCCCTAGTGTATAATCACCTGGTACTCTGTCACTATATGAGAAGCAAGGGCTAGGGAATATAGAGTTGATTTGACTAAAGAGATATGTTGGTATCAACGGGAACACCTTTCAAGTCTACGATGGTAGAAAGCCCGACGAGTGTTCAGTGTTGATAATATTATAAATCTTATTGAAAGCTATTCTACATAGTGGAGACTACTATATGCGTATTGAGGCCCTTGCACTAGTGCTTGCCCTAGCCCCTCGCTAGTACGGCGCCGGTGCTCCGGTACAGTAGATGACTATACCGACAAGATAGAAGTTGATGAGTTCACAGATAGCTTTATGAAGCCAATCCGACAGTTCCTAATGCGGCCGAATATTGAATCATATTTTCTTTGATTGCAAATACTCGAGATACACTTGTAATGGTTCCATTGCCAATAGTAGTACCCATTCCAGGATCATATCTCTTTCTGAAACAAAGGAGTTTTGTTTATATGTTAATCATGAAGCAACAAGAACTTTCCATCTTTAACTTCAAATTCAACTTTACCTAGCCCAGAAAATGCCTGTAATTACTAGATCTAAAAGTCGTCTCTTAAAGTTATCGATTCTAGAGGATGTAGAGTCACATATTTCCTTGAAACAATCTATAGTAGTAAACAACACTTCTGCCCCAAATGATCCCCTACGAAAGGCTGTTGTTTCCTCAAAACCTGGTCGGCCAAAACGACAACCAAAAAAGTTACAACCAAAAAAGTTACAACCAAAAAAGTCTCAACCAAATAAGCCTCCTCCTTCATCTCCAAAATCGTCAAAAGAATCTCAGAAGTATCAAGACTACAACAAATCCGAATCATCTCTAACAAGCAAAAATCTTTATTCTTCAAATCTACCACCAGATACTTTCACCCACTTCTTCTGCCAAAAGTGTGATTGCCAACAAGGAGTCTTTAAAGGCCTTGTTAATAGTTGTACCAAATGCAAGCATCAATTTGACGATCATCATGACAAGAAAAATCCTTGGAATCCTATTTGTGATTTCCTTTGTGAGAGACAGGATCTTGTCACCTCGATTATGCAGGAATTACTGAAGACAAGAGTTGTAGTTATCCGTGCTACCCCTCTAGTAGGCAGAACAGTTCTTCTTCAGCTACTAGGTAATCATATACTCAAGGAGTATAGTGATCTGGAACCAATATATATCGCATGGCAGACCAGAACAGCACCAGAACAGCACGAGATAACCTTCCATATGAGAAATATTTGAAAAATGCAGAATCAACATGGCAACTCAAAAATGCCGAAATTCGCCCTCACAATCCTGCAGCTCAAAAAGTATTTCTGATCGACGAAGCTCAAAATTCTTACGAGGAAAAATTGTTTTGGAATCAGTATTTGAGAAATTCTAATATTAGCTCGCAACCACTATTCGTACTCGTCAGTCTTTATGGCGCCTTGGGCGTTTCCATGAATCGCGAGATTCTGGTTGCTTCCCAAGCTATTCGCATCGATTCATTTCCACGTGTAGAACTGCGTCCATCTGCGAATGGTAATCTGCATGTGCTCTTTACGCTAGAAGACACTTCCACTATGGTAATTAAATGGGCTACAGTGTATGGCTTCCAACTTGAGAGTGGTGTATCTGAATACCTTCACGCAGCTACTGATGGTCATCCGGGTATGCTTGACAGTATCTTTAGCTATTTTAAGCTTCGTTTCCAGATGTAAGTTATTCTGTTACCCTATACTTTCACTAAATTTTGGTTTTATTAATAAAGTCTTACAGCTTCCCAAAAGCATTCGTCGTACACGATCATGGTCCCCTCAATTGTGCCATGACATTATTACCGAGCAAGAGTCAAATGGTGTGCTAGACATATTAAAGACTTGGGGGCGAGGACTCTGGACACCTAATGAAGAATCTTTGATAAGAAGATATCTTCGGCTCCCTTCTTACGGCCGCATCTCGTTTTCGGAAGTAACAGCGGCATTGAGCACAGTGGCAAAACTACTGCATGGTTATAATCTACCACAGGGGCACCCCAATGATGCTTTTCCTTTTTGCTCCCAGATGGGTTTACTGAATGCCGAGCAACACCCTGGAAGTCAGAATATCACCTATATTTTTGCTTCTCCATTGCATCGAAGGTATATCAAATCCCCTATCTACACTTCATATATTGACTATTTATACTAGAGTCGCGTATCGTCGTGCTTTCCCAGGTCCGAAACCTGACACTCGTTTGAAAAAATAACCCTTCAACAAGCTTGTCTCAATGCCATCGAAAGATTCAGTCCATCTGCTTTACGAGCAAAATCTCCAAAATCTCAGAGTAGTTGGGGCATATCCGAAACAATCTTCCAAAACGAGATTTATTACTGCTTTAATGATGAGCTCGACAATATGGAGATTCTATCTGATTATTCTCATAGAGAAGATAAAAGGATAGATCTTTATATCTTTGATAAGAAATGGGGAATTGAAGTATTCCAATCTGGAGATAAGAAAAGAATGGAAGAACATGTGAATCGATTCCAGGTTGGAGGTAAATATCATGGATGGGGCATCCTCGAAGATTATCTCATTCTGAACTTTTGCCCAAAATCATCAATTCAAGAGCTCGACATCAAAGGTAATAAACAGTACCCCATTAACTTTAGAACCAATTCGCGGTCTAACACAAACTCCTCTCTAGATATCAATATTCAATCACATATTTTGCAAATCGCCATTGATCCAGAGGAATGTACTGGGGAAATATACACTCATAATCAAATACAAACAACATTGAACTTGAGCAAGGAACGACATCAATCCTATTATTCTGCAGATTACGATATGGGTTCCGAGGAATTGGATGCTTGTATGGCTCTGCGCGATCAGAAAATTGATGCCAAGAGAAATGTGGAAAAGATGGAACGAAAGAAGCAGGAGATGGAACTAATGGAGCAGGAGATAGCACGATTGAAGCAGGAGTTGGCAAAAAAGGAGCAAGAGAAGCAATGAAAAAGGATTCAGTTAAAACTGCAGCTTGATCAGAGATGATCTCTCCAACCTGGCAGACATAGCTGTAATTGACAGAATATCCAATGCTAGTTCACTGAGATTGAGATGAAGCTTTTGCACAGTATCTTCTAACCATCATGCTCTCGCAACATAGACTTCACAACCAAGGATTGAGCACCATAGTGAGCATGTTTACCCACCGGAACCACATCAACCTCATCCTAACCCTCGACAAACAATAAAAATTCATTTGTAGTAACTATATTGCGAATGTGTGACTGGAACAATCCCCTGTGGTTTATACTCGAATATTGACCTCAAAGTTTTGAAATCAGCTCCTCCAACTTGGCTTAATGATCCATCTCTCACCCCAGCTATTTCTCACTATCTCAAAACTGCGATTTCTTCGGAAGAACGGGATGACTGCAGAAGCTCGTAAATGCGTTTTCTAATTTCTTATTTTAGTGTAAAGATTTAATCAGTAGGATTGTGGTCAAGTGAAAGAACCCGTAGATCAATCACTATATTCTTGTCGTAAATACCTAAAGGAAAGAAAGGATTTAATGAGAAGTTTTGCATTTAGTGATTGATGGTAAGGCTTAAATATCAAATCTCTACAGGCAGTACATTGCTCCCTATCTAAGTAATCATGTACCGGTATATATTAGATTTTTCAAGAAACAACTATATAATAGAATCGATCAATGCATACTCTTGAATATAATCCAACATGCTAAATCAAGAGTATAAACTCTCAACCTTGTTCTATCCCCAACTCCAACCACAATCCCCATTCCAAACCCTTACCAATCAATACTCCCCTCCCCCTCTCCAACCCTCAACTCCCTCCTCGCCTCAAAAGGTTTCCTCCCATTCATCCCCACCCCATTAACCCCAATCCTCCGATCCAACTTCTCAAACGGTCCCTCCCCACTCTCCCCCTTCCGAACCTTCCACCTCTCCGTCCCCAAAACCCCATCCAACTCATGTATTGGCGGTAATTTTAAATAAACCCATCCATCATCCCTCTCCTCCGCCTCAAAAATCGCTATACTAACTTCTTCATCATTTTGACACCTTCCCTTCGTTTCCCCATTCAGTTCAAAATTTCTCTTATGGTTTGGACAGGACACCCATAGTTTGTCTTCCTTTCCCCCATCCACATCCTTCCCCGAATCCCCAATAAAACCATCACTCAACACGAACGCCCTCTTATGCGGACACATCTGCTGACTCGCCAACCACTTTCCCCTCACCCTCCATACCGCCAATTGCGTACCCCCCCTCTTCACACTTGCTGACATGCCATTCGGTATCTCATCCGCGCCCTTAAAATGATCCCTCTGAATGGCCCGTTCCCAAGTAAGACTCGTCCACTTTATATTCTTAAAATCCGTCTTCACACTCTCTTTAGCCCAATAGACCGGCCTCGTCTGCCCACGATCTTCTTCCAGTTCCATATTCTCCACCGTATCCTCGCAATTATCGAATTGTTTGAAGTTTTTCGCCATTTCCGGATCGGTGATAGCGGCCGCCCATTCATCGAAGAAGGATCCGACTAGCTCTTCCATTTGTGCTTCGAGACTGGCGCAGATTCCTAATTTGTCGTCAAGGATTACTTCGCGGAGGTATTTAATGCCTCCAGGCAGAGCTTCGAGCCAGCGGGCGGTTCGTTGAAGTTTATCAGCGGTACGGATATAGAAAATGAGGTAGCGGTCCAGGATGGGAATTACCGAATCGGGAGGGACATCTTTGACTAGAAGATCGCTGTGGCGAGGTGAAGCACCGCCGTTACCGCCGACGAATATGTTGAAGCCCTTTTCGGTGGCGATGAGGCCAAAACTAATAGGGGCTCGGTTAGCATTGATAACATTGGTCTTCTTATGAAAAGAGTGGGAGTGAAGGGAACATACTCTTTGTTCTGCGCTTCAGCACATTCCCTCACACATCCACTTACACCTCCCTTAATCTTATGCGGACTCCTAATACTCTTATACCGCTCCTCCAATCTCACCGCCATCCCAACGGAATCCGCAATCCCATACCGGCACCAAGCTGTTCCCACACAACTTTTAACTGTGCGCAAGCTCTTTGCATATGCATGGCCGGACTCCATGCCTCCTTCCACAAGTGTCTTCCAAATTGCCAAGAGATCTTGTTTCTTAGCCCCGAACATATCGATTCTTTGGCCACCAGTGATTTTGGTGTAGAGATTATATTTCTTCGCTACATTTCCAATGATAATCAATTTATCAGGAGTGATCTCTCCTGCGCTCACACGTGGAACGACGGAGAAGGTACCGTTCCGTTGAATATTGCCCAGAAATCGATCGTTTGTCTCTTGGAGCCCATGAAGAGGTCGTGAGATTACGTGTTTGTTGTATAAAGAACTGAATATAGAACCGATAGAGGGTTTACATGCCTCGCATCCTTGACTATCTGGATCATTTCCAGCTTCTTTCATGACTTCCGCGAGAGTTTTCAGATTCTTGACAGAGATGATGTTGTAAAGATCGGCGCGCGAATAGTTGAAATGAGGGCACATGTGATTCTTCACTTCCTGGCCCATCGATTGCATGGTGCTGTTGAAGATGCTGGTGACAAGCGGCATGCATCCGCCGCACCCTGTTCCAGCTTTCGTGCATGATTTGACGTCTCCGATGCTTTTGCATGTGCCTTCCTTCACTGAATGAACGACATTCCCTTTAGACACGTTGTGACAGGAGCAGATTTGCGTATCGTCATCTAAGTCATCTCCTCCATCATCGCCCTCTTTGCTGGCCCCGAGGATAAATTGGCTCGGTGGCACATCCAGCATCTTCTGATTCTTCAACATAGATACCAATTTGACGTAATCTCTCGTATCGCCAATCATCATACCGCCTAAAAGATACTTTCCATCCATGGTAAACAGATATTTCTTGTAAACTGCTTGGAAAGGGTCCTTGTAAGTGAGTGCTTTAACAGGCGATAGCGCAGATCCATTCATCAACTTTTTCGAAGCATCAGACGAATCGTTGTTCTTCCTCGCCATCCTAATCGGTAAATCTTTAGGTCCATCTCTGTCCGCAAAGAAATCGCCAAAACTCGCAACCTCTACTCCCAATAACTTTAGCTTGGTACTAAGATCCGGTCGCTTAAAACTCCTATATGCGTGTCTTTTTGCCTGTGTAAGATTGAAAGACAAGACATCCGCCATCTCAATTCCAGGAGCAATCAGTCCGAATGTTTGATCTTTCCAACTAGCGCATTCGCCAATTGCGTAGATATCTTTGACACTGGTACTCAGATCATCTCCAACCATAATCCCTCCACCACGATCAGCACATTTGATACCTGCTTGGCGAGCCAGTTCGTCTCGAGCTTTGATACCAATCGCAAAACATATCGTTGAACATTCCATCTCTTCTCCGTCTTCGAACACCACACCTTTCACCTCGTTCTCATTCGTGACTTCAATCTTCCCAACTCTTTTGGACAGCATCACGTCCAAACCCAGACTTTCCACTTGTTCGACAACCAAACCTCCTGCATCAGCATCAAGCTGACGACTCAGTACCCATTTATTCCTTTCGATCAGATGCACTTTCTTGTATTTCTCGAGATCCATCATAGCCTTTGCAGCTTCGAGACCCAAGAGCCCACCACCCATAACAAGTCCATGTGTACCCTTCTTCTTTTCCGAGAATCGTATGAGGTTTTCTAGATCCTCTATGTTACGATATACGAAGACACCTTTGGCGTCATGGCCAGGTGTTTGTTGAGGTAAGAGGGCATCGGACTCTGTTGCTAAGATAAGGATATCATATGGAACCGTTTCGCCAGAAGCACATGTAATTCGTTTATTGGAGTGACATATTTCAACAACTTTAGTGTTGATGTGGTAGCTGAGAGATCCGACCGGAACATCCGCATACTGTTCTTTATATTAGCTGGACAACATGGTGAAAACGCAATGAGGGAAACCAACCCATGTTTTGGGGTTTAGATACAAATTTTCCACTTTCCGATGTTGAAAGAAACTCGTCAAACCAACTCAGTGGTACGCCAAATGTGATTCTTCGCCTATGACTATGATATCGTATTCCCGATTTTTTGCATCCAGCTTCATTAGTTTCTCTCTATCTTGGAATTAGCATATGCTCCAGATCTAAGTGCCACATCCACCCGATATCGAATGAACTCAACAAGCACAGCAAACATAAGAATAATAGAAGTAAGAACTCACACAAAGGCAATTCCCACCATCCCTAACCCAACAACCACCACTCTCTTTCTCTGTGGCCTATGATTCTCATTTCCAGACCCCTTCACTCCATCTGGACCCCCGTCAATAGGTCCTCCCACCTCTTGAATAGGAACTTGTGGCTGCCAATTCGACATTATGATATCTGTCCGCTAGGAAGAAGAAAAATATACAGTTCTTTCGGTCCGCGAATTATCTATAAAGAGTAAAACAAGACTTCACAGATATTCAAAGTCCCGATTCCCATGAATATTCCAGAATATTGGTTGTCGATATACCTGCAGCAGCAAAAGTGCAAATGAAGCCAGAGAAGGAGAGAAAAAAGATATCAAGAAGATATCGACGAAATCAAAGGAGATGAAGTATCAAAAGGAAAACCATACATACCTATCTCGAACATACTACCGTATCTCTCAATAAAACACAAGATACACCGAACAAACATCTACTCTGTATCCATTCATTCGTCCTCCTTACCTCACTCACCAACACACAATAGATATCATAGCCTCCTCGGAAACCCTCAACCCCCTCCTAGAAAGTTTCCCACCAATGATGTAGCATCAAATGTAAGCCAATCTCCAGAAACCGATCAGTGTATTTCCTCGGTGGACGATTTGTCTGATATCAAAAACACAAACAGGTACAAATGGTACTAGCAAGATGTTCTCTGATAAGAAAATATTTATCTATGCGGGGCCTTTGATAGCAGATAAGAAGCTTTACGGGGGATCTATTGGTCAATGGAAGATGGGTGTGGATTCCCGGGCTCGTAGCCGGAGAAGGTCGGAAATGCTCCTTGCTATCGTGGGAACTATTTTTGGCTTGACTTAATTATTCTACTTTTGAGAGAAAAGTAAATAATTATTAGAAACTCTAAAAAGTATAAAAATTATAGTTTAATTTAAGATAGAAATCTATATATTCTAATACTGATAATCGCTATTATCGCTTAATAGAGATCTTATTAACTAATTAAAATGTTAAATCTATAATTTAATAAAACATTTATCTTTAATCTTTAATTTACTTTAATCTTTAATTTATAATACAAAATTCAATAATTTCTATTTTTATATAATTTCTTTTGAAGAGAATCAAGATATAGTAAATCTAAATTATTTAAAGTTTTTTCTAAATCTTAAGATTCAAAAACAATTTAAAAATTAGATATTTTAAAAAGAATCTATAAAAAAAGTAGTCTTTTATTATTCAAAACTCGATTTTAATCAATTAGACTTTATTATTCAAGGGAACTTTTTATAAACTATTATAGCGGCGGTTTTTTAGTATTTAAAAGAATATTATCTAAACTTAATCAACTGAGTTTGGAGCGAACCGCATTAGTCTAGCTGCAAATCGCATCAAAAGGCTGAACAAATTATATAATTGGAAGATTCTGGAAAGTAGAACTTATTCTGGTTCTATATTTGTGTATTAGCTATTAAAACTAGACTGTATATAGATTGGCTTCGTCCAAATACGGTCGCTCCAAACTCAGTTAGGTGAGTTTAGACGATAGTATATTAATTTTTATTAAATAGATAGCTTTATTATATACTTGTATATATATTTGTATATAAACATACGTACTACTAATAAAATCCACCCATTCTCACCCTAGTTCAATAAACCCTAGAATAAACAACCGATTTCCTCACCCCGAACTTCCGAATTTTCTCCACTGAGTACTAGCATAGCATAGTATAGCTGTTGGACAGACTTCAAAGGTGTATACACTAAAAACGTATATGATATAAAAGGTAATTCATTTTGTCTAACCTTCCACCTCATACAAAGTGGGAGGTGCTAACTATAGGGGAATCCTACCCCGCTCTACGGAATGTCTGTTCCGGGCGTTCCGTATACGCTCCGTGTACAAAAGTGGGATTGATGCACGTATTCATCCCATCTACAAAACTCACATGCAACCTACAAACTAACACCGCACAGTACACTACATTAAAATCACCTCGAAAACCTCCCAAAAGCCCCCGCCTCCTCCTCCTTCCCCGCAGGAAATTTCTTCCTCTCCCCCTCAGCCCTCTCCACAATTTCCCCCAAACGCCCCTTCAAACTCGACTGCTGCACCTGTGGTCTTCTCCTCCACCTCGCCAAACTATCCGTATCCGGCGTCAGCAGCTGCGTACCCGGCCACGAGAGCAGAGCAAGTACCCCCCGCACATACGGAAGCGTTTCCGCCGACAGCGGCGCCAGCGCCAAAATCTCCAGTATTTTCTCCGTGAAGCGATGGTGAAAGACAGGGCGGAACCATGTATGTGCCATATTAGCCATCTCGCGCACGTGACCTGTTAAGATGCGCTCTAGGATATCTTTTTGGGTGATGGTGCGGTCGAATAGTATGCTCACTTCGTCTCCGAGGCTCTTGAGCTCGCCTTTGTCGAAGGCTGGCTGCACAAATTTGTTGAGGAGGTTTAGCAATGCTTGGGCCTGTTTGGCGTCGTTTTTTGCGTCGCGGAGGTCTTCTCGGGGCCATATGTCTTGTGCGTATGCTTGGCGACTTTTGGCGTTGTCGCGTGCGTGCTGGAACATCTTTTTCTGTTGGGGATGTAATTTGTCGGCCAGTTGTAGCTCGATGTTGAAAACGCTAATCTCGTGTTGCATTCCCATAATCTAGTTTAAATCGTTTCAGCGGCGGGTTAAAAATAGGGCTGGTTGAGTTAATACCTGCTCTTGGATTCTAGCCAGATGGTCTTGCATTTCTAGACACGAGTCCCGGGCTTTCTCAAAGAGCTTGACGCTTAATTGTGCCAGATCTGTCACGCTAGATGAAGGAGGTTTGAGTGCTCTGGAATTGTTTTGCATCCACTTTACTGTGCTACGGAGAGATTCAGGAAATTGTTGGCGAAAGGTCTCCCCATTTTGACTTTGGTTCCATAATTCAGGAGGGTTTGCATCCGCCACCATCTTCATCGTTAAGTCGAGCAAGGTCGCATAGGCGGGGATGAGTGCCATATCTGTCTTTGCAGTTACGTCCAAATGGACTTTGGCATCACCTTCCAACTGGTTGATTTTAGTTCGAAGCCGCCGACCGGAGGCATAGACCGACAAAACGTCCATTATATGCCGTACTTGCCTTGGCTCCTGTCGGGATATCGCGTAGCAGCGATCCTGTTTCCAGGTTGAAGTCACTGGTGCATGCCATGGACCGCCGTTTTCCCGTGACCGAGCAGACAAAGCTGTGGCTCTCGTGGCTGTGAGAAAGAGGGTTGGAACTGTAGAGGATATAAGAAGCTTCTGGTAAACTGGAACGGATCTTCGTAGTTGAGAGCTCAACATGGTGAATACTTTACTCAGTGAGTATGAAGAATAAGGGCCAACGAGTTGAACTGTGAGTGAGAGGACTGTTGTATAGTATCTTCAAATATCGATACACGACTTTTATGATATATTGCCGCAAATCGCAACCGTAGTGGAAGATCTTCCACCTGGAGTCTATGCTTTAGTTCTGCAAAGTGACCCAGAATATTTGTTCAGAGCTGAGCTTCAGACACTTGCCGCGCAGCGCAGATCATTGTGGGGTAAACTTATTGAACGAAGCTGAAAGTATTGATGAGCTTTGTCCCACTAGTCACTTGATTTGTTTGCAGACTTTCAAGAACAGACAACGAGGAAGTGCAGTGTGTCAAAGGTAGGGCCTGGACACTTGTCACTGTCTCTCCGCATCAGAACCTATGATGCTTTCAGAAACAGATCTATCACACACCACTAAACGTCGGTGTCCCAGAACTGGCTATGATAATCTTCCTTGATGCAATTCTAGTGAACCCCGAAAAAGGAACATGTGGTTAGATCTGTGGTCTCAGAGCTCAATGTGAATGAATAAATGGATGCTTTTTGATGCCAGCAAGAAATCCGACGAGCGTGTCAAGAGACCTTGTGGAGGTGCAAGTCTGCGAAAGCGTACGGGTACTTCCACAATCTGCAGGCGATCGTTCTAGTCTGTGCTTTTTGTAGATCTTTCAGCCAATACAAAATAAGACATATCCACTTAAATCGATTTTAGACCAGCTGAAAGAACCATGGATGCACTCACTACCAGCGCAACTCAGCTTAGATGGAGATCAATATTTTCTGTCACGTGGGGTACGATTCTACCTTCCATGAAGCAGATGACGCAGATGACGCAGATAGAGACTTATATATAATAGATTTATTCATCCCATCTATTTTTTGATCAAAGGCAGAATACTACTTTGAAGAAACAGTAAACCAGCCAATTTGATCAACATGTCGAACCAAATTGTAACCCGGAAAATGATGGACGAGCTCAGTCAGAAGGAGGTTGTCGAACCTTGGCAAGTGATGGAGGGTAAGAGTTCCTTGTCCCTGAATATTGAGTCCTGTATGATTGACCACTGAGTATAGATATCAAGGCTAAGAACTGGGAGACCAATTTCGAATGGATGGGTGTCCTCTCCGTTGCACCGGCTTCTATTCAGCTGTTAGCCATGTGTGCGGCGACAGCAGCAAGGCCTGAAGCCCAGGGATTAGAGCTGTATAATAACCCGGATTTTAAGTATCTCCGAAAGTGAGTCCGTTCTTTTTCCTATCTCGCAGAGATTTCCGTAAATTAAAGCTGACCCACGTGTAGGACCGAGTCTCTTCAGGGTGCCCTGGTTCAAGTGAGTAACGATGGTCGAAAGGCGTTTGGGAATGCTTACGGACACATGGACAATATCTACCAAAAATCCGGAGCCGTCGAGGAATTGGTAGGGAAGATCGAAATCCTCTTGCATGCCACGATGCTAACCCTTATTGGTAGGTTGGTCAAATTTTTAGGGCACTCTCTATGCAGAATACCGACGTAGAAGTAGAGCTAAAAGCCATTACGAAATTGTCTGATGAGTGCCTCAAGTCTGCTGAAGGGATGCTCCAGGACTTTGTGGAGTGGGAAGGGATTGTCAAGGACCTTCATCAGGCATGTGAAGACCGAGATCAGGGAGCCCAGCGAGCCATCCTGGAAGGCGAGAAGGAAGCCTTCCTGAATGCCGCACGCGAGGCGCATTTCAAGAGAGAGGAGGCCCGGATGCAGACAGAGCTGGTGAGTAAGAAGCAAGAAGTTGTTGAACTGAAGGAAAGTCTTGACAAAGAATTGGCAAATTTCCCTCGTGGGTATGTGAATTCTTCCTCTCATGCCATTTGACTAACACTAACGTTTTCTCACAGCATGGAGCTGGCAAAGATGGACATCTTCAAAAGTCTCGCCGACAGCGTGACTTCACTTTTCACGGCGCTGGGCAATGTTGGGTCGGCATTTGCGGCAGGCAAAAGTCCTGCCGCCTTGGGCAATGCCATCGGCGGGGCTTTGGGTCCTAAAAGCTCCTCGACCCCAAGCACAGCAGGAGCGGGTTCGGAAGCTACCGATGATGAGGATGATACCAAGGCCACAAGTAATGTTGGGGACGAGAAAGCCTATCTTCAAGCTGGATTGATTTCAATGGCCCTGCAACAACTTCAAGGTCTTTTGGAAGGCGACGACAAGGATGGCATTCAATGGAACTTGGTGACTGGCGTCGGAGCCGAAAAAAAGACTGCAGCGAAAGACGGGAGGCAGTGGAGTCTCGAGGCTGTGGAAGCAATGCTAAGCATGAGCAGCAAAACCTTGAAAAGCTCAAGTGACAAGAAAAATTCCAAGACAGGAAAGAAATTGCTTGGTGCACTTGAGACAGCGAATCCGGTAAGAATATTTTCATCCTGAAGGTGTGATGGCGCTGCTAATCAGTTCATAGGTACTTAAAGACCTCAACAAAGAGGCCACAGATGCAAAGACGGTGAGCAAGGTCTGGAAGCAGCCCGAAGACAAGCAGATTAAGAATTGGCTTGATATCGTGGAAAAAGGTCTGGCCGCCGTCCAGAAGATCGAAGCCGCCCGGAAAGGGTCCAAACAAGCTTCCCGGCCCTCTCAATCCCCAGTTAATCTCACTCTGGCATCGCCACCTGCCGTAGCCGGACAGAGTGTGAGTCAACATGTCGTGGCGGCCCATCGCTTCTTGGTAGAGACGGCGAAACAGGGGTACAGAAACTCCAGCAATGCACTCGATCAAATGAAGAGAGAAATTGCAGAACTGCAATCCAACGTCAGCCAGATCACAGCTAAGGGGCAAAATCTTGCCGCAGAAAAATTGACACTGGTAAGAAAGAGCATTTGGGTGTTGATTTGAGTAATAGTACTGTACTGATACTGACTATCGTCCAGCAAGATATTAAGGAAGTCCTGAAAGATTGCATAGATTACGTCATCACGTTGAAAGATCATATCACGCGCATGCTGATATTTTTCCGCACGTTCAAGAACAGAGTGGACACAGTGATGACGTCCCAACTTGAGCCGTTCACAGGAAGGGTCCAGAAGATTATCAATAATCATAAATTGTTGTTCGATCTCATCGTAAGTAGCCATCCTCTTCTTGTGCTAAACATCTCCGACATGAACCGAAGGCTAACTCTGCTAACTCTGGTCAGCTTCTGCAATCAAACGCAATTCAAATATGGGCCAGTTTTGAGCAATTCAAAGATATTGCCGAGATGTACAAGCAGATTTACAACCCTCATCTGCTCGATGGTCTTAATCTCGTCGATCGTATGACCCGACTACCAAAGGGATCGGATTTTGGTAGGCAGTTGGAAGAAATCGAAAAGTGGAAGAAGAGTGTTCAAGGCAAAGTCGACCAAATTATCGAAAAGGTGAGGCCCAATAGTCCGACTCTCTTATGGATTTTTGTGCAAAGCTCATCAATCCGTGCACTTACTAATCTCACCATCCTTTTATCAGCAAATATCCCAAGTCAAGAGTAACCTAAAAGAAGATGAGAGGAAATTGCTCGAGAGTCAATTCAAGCTCCCAGAGGCTCCCAAACGGCAGCAACTGGCAATTCAGCAGGGTATCGAAGAAGCCAAAAACGAGATCGATTTAAGAATAGAGGGGGTTAACCCAGCACTCATATCGATGGGGACACCTCACGTAGAGGCAACTGTAGAGGTAAGTTATATCAATATCAATATCAACATATTTTTAAGTACAGAAAAGCTAATGAAGTGGGATTGGTAGGAACTTCAAACTGAGGTACAGCAGATCAAGGCAGCCAGCGATTATGCTAGCGGCATGACGGGCAGCGGAAGAAGAAGAAGATGAGGAGCAAAAGACCTTGCCGAGATTCTGTTGGAGGAATAATGACAGTATGGAATGATCAATAAATAACACGGAAGAGAAGTGGATCAGGAATTTGTTAATAGTAGAGTAGATATTATTGAAGTGGGTGGAGCGCATGCAACTTAGCCACAACCAAAGCAGCGCAATGCAACGCAGTGCTCTATGATACTATCGCATCTAGATTGAACCTCAAACGCCCACTATTCCCGAGACTTGAACACCTGGTATCCATTTCATTTGATTCGATAAAGAAAAAGAAAAATGCCCCATGTGACATCCCAAATTGGAAAATAATTGAAAATAAAAGGAAGGTATTGTCTGCTCCTCAGACTTTTCTCATTTTGCATGATTTGAATGAAATTTTCGAGAATATGAACCCAATTATCAGCATCCTTCACTGTCACCCTCATCGCTCATTGATCCATACCCTGCATCGTTTTCCATGCCAACAACTTGTGCAGTAATCATCAAGCATGTCTCCACCATTTCTTGCTTCAAATCAGTTTCCAGTCCACTCTTCTCACCATCTGTGCCTCCAATCCAAATTCTGAGGTTGCCAGCAAATTTCTCTAATGACATGGCACAGGTTGAGGCTATCAAGGTATGTTCATGCATCTTTTTAACAAGCTTGAACATTGCCGTGAAGCCAAGTAAAGTGAGATTGATTGGGACAATCGAGTCAATGACTTTTGGGGCATTCTCAGGATTAGCTGGCATGGGAAAGCGTTCCAAATAAGCAAGAGCCATTGCGCAATAAATTGAGGTTTGAATGTCTGGAAGATTGGCGACAGAGGTTTTGATGTTAACATTTGATTCTACCGGCATCTTCTTTTGTCCGGCACCAATTGCCTTGAGAGCAACAGCAATACTCTGTCCACGTTTCTCTTTGACTAGCACGGCACGTGCCACGAGAGCACGTATTTGAGCCTCGGATCCAGGGGGTGCTGTTTGAATGGCTATCTTGATATCATCGGCAACGGCTTTGTAGCCTGCAATATCTCCATCCTCTGTTTCGAGACTTTTCGCGAGAGCTTTGTGCAAAGTGAGGCTTGACCACCAAGCTGCGACCGCATCGAGAGGGCTGCGAATAGCAAAATCGTCCACAACACGATCCATACCACAGTTGACCTTTGTGTTGCTGGTGGTTGGTAAATTCCACGCGAGATTGTAAGCACGTTGTACCACGGCATCAACCAGGACATCATCGCACTTGTGCTCAAGAAGAGTGGCAAGATATTCAGGCAGCTCGTCACTTTGCTCTTTTGACTGGGACAAAATTTGCTGCATTTGCTTTGCTTCGTTCCATTTCCATCTAGCCAATTCCTGTGCACAGCTTCGCATGAATCTGGAACCGGTAAATCCATTGACACCTAGCTCCCATAGTAAAACACGCATGTGTAGTGCTTTGAGCATTAAGCGTGCTGGGGTATCAGGTAGAGTACCGGAAGCCAATAGGGTCAAGGTCAAACGGCTTTTACTGACTTCGACATCGCCACCAGTCAGTTGGGCATCGAGAGCGATAGACCAGGCTTTAATTCGAGCGACCTCTTGCTCTTCCGTGGTACCAGTCAAGAAGGAATATAGCGAAGGTCCAACGACGTTGCGGCACGTGAACTTACCAACTTTCATACATAAAGCAGCTGCCTCGAGAAAGAAATTGTGTCTTGGTACCCAAACTGTTTGAATCGCTGTAAGCCAAGCTTGTCTCCTGACTTGTATAGAAGAGGCTAGTGAGGGTGCGGCGGCTAAGTTGGCGGACTTGGAACCTTTTGTATCCGGCTTAGGAGTGAACAACGAAGGGAGGAAAACATAAATGAGGAGACCGAGGGCGAGTGAGACTTGAAGGTAATGGATAGTCTGGCTTGCTGGGAGGTGATATCCCTGGGAGTTGATTTCCAACGCTGAATGAAGACCACGACTCATGATCCTGAGGAATTGAGTAGGAAGAGCCATGAGACCTCGAGCGCCGGGTGTATCAGTATCTTGCTCTGCCTCCGAGAAGCCTTGCATAATCATGAGGCCAGCGAGCGAGCCGACCATGAGCTTGCCAAAGTATCCCCCATTCCACGCATTAGGACCGATTGATTGGCGGTTGTATTGTGTTGGAACAGCAAAAGTCTCTTGACTCATTTGACCATGTAATCTCCGCATGTCATCTGGAACAGGTATCATACCTTGATCGGAGGAAGGTGACGGACCCGGGGTGTTAAATTCTTGAGCGTATTGATATGGATTCATTGGTTGCTGAATGGGACCGAACCCCATTGATCCAGACACGAAAAGCTTTTCGAAAGCGTTTATGCGTGTCTTCATTTGATTATTCTCATCTTGTAAACGTGAATTGCGCTTCTCTAGATGTCGAATATATTCAGTAGCTTTAGAGAGAACCTATTCAGGGTGATAATTAGCGTGGGCTGAACCTCAAGAGGTATAGTGAGCCGAGAGAAAAGTGGTGTGATTTTGAGACTCGCATGATATATTCCCAATCCATCATCGTATCCGCAGATAGATCGACTCATACCTACGTGATAAAAAAAGAAACAACTCACAGTAGCTTTATTCAATTTATGAGCAGGAGTCAAACCTTGTAGCTCTTCTCGGTCATCAGCCGTATCTTCACCACGGGCGCTCTTCTGCATGATCCGTAGACTTGGCACACTGTCCCGCAGGGCTGCAATCTTGTCGTTCAAATTTGTGCGATATCTCTTCTCAATCATGTTATGAGCAGTCTTCTTGACCGGTGGGTGTTGACTTGTAGACTCGTCATCATCCTCATCGTCGGCCTCTGCCGAAGATTTGCGCTTCCGACTATTATCATGGGATTCGGGCGAGGAGATGGAATTGCTCTTGGATGTGGTTGAGTTTGGACTATGTTGGCTTTGGTATTGGAGGTGCGGTGGCATGGCGATATCGCGCAACTTCTCCTGCTGAGCTGCAGTAAGTCCTCCAGTTTGGTTCATATTTGTATAGGTCGGACCAATATTTTGGAGATCTTCTTGTTTTGGCATTGGAGGATCCCAATTCAACGGGGTCGAATATAGTCCACCGTCGTAAGGTGGGGTGTCTTCGTCCCAGTTTGCGGGAAACAAAGGATCGTCGTCGAGACCTAGTGAATCTGCAAAAACAGCTGTTTGGCCAAAGTCATTGATAGTACAGTCGAGACCGGCTGATATTCCAGATAACGTAGGATCGGAAGAAGAGTTCTTGGATGCCATGATCAGGTACGTACACGTAACCTGGAGAGATATTTTATGGCAAGTTATGTTATGGGGAGAAGGGGGGGGGGAATTCGGGGTATGTGGTGAGAAATCAGAAAGTGGTTTGATACTTGTCAAATTGAGTTCAGAATTGGAAGATTGATAGGATACCAACTTGCGTGAGACAAGGATTTGGTCATGCACAACAGCACAAGAATCGGAGATGTTATACGAAATAAGATAAGTTTGCGAAATGTGAAGATTTTGGAGTAAATGAGAGTAAATGAGAGTGAATGAGCGAAATGTTGGTTATCAACTATAGAAGAGAAAGTAAGACTTAGGATTCATTCTGAGCAAGTCTGTCTTACAAGGCTGAAAGATGATTGGATTATTAATATTGCTGTGTTTAGAAATTGAGTAAATTTTGGGTGAATTTCTTCAAAACACCTCGACCGATACTCCGTAGTGGTCTGATATTATCGTATGATGGGTCGTTCCGCAGGAACTTAGTTTAATCGTGCTTAGTGAGATTTTAACATTGGTAAAAATTAACTAAACTCTATTGAGTATTAAATGGAAATATGAACACGTGATCTGCATGAATTAGAATTCGGATTCCAAGATTCCAAGAATCCAAGATTTCAAAGGTTCCAACACAGTACTGTGCCTCCTACCTCCTATCTCCTACCTCC